CTGTTGCGCACCACACGATCTGGCTTTCCGCATCACCATAGCCTAAAGGGCAAACAAACATGGAGGTTCACATATTACATGTGCTCAGCCTCGTTCGTATCAAAAAGATATTGAGAGAACGTCTTGATAGACAGAAGTAATGCAAACCAAATGTATCATTGCTAATTATCGATCGACAGAAATTCACTGCTCAAAACAGCTGGTGTGGATAAAACCAGTGAAAATTTAATAAGCGAGAACAGAATTAGCGCTTCAGAGAAAAAGTATACTCACTCTGTACTGTTCCAAAAATATGTATAGCTGCTGCACGGAAATGCGTAAATCTGTTTCGTTGAATTCATATGGTCTATTCCACCCAAGTGGGCCAAATTTACGCCGTTCCTGAACAATCGCATGGAAGAACACGAGACCAAATAGCAATTTTCGCCATGCATGTTCGTTTGGACAGGATTGGAAAAATTCCGGATCTGAGATGGGATCACTCAGATAGGAACGCCACAGATTGAATCGCAACCCTTTGGGAGGTTCGTTGGTCATTTTCACTCCGTTTTGCAGTATGGCAACTGGAAAATCTTTGCTCGGGTAGCTGGTTAACCAGAGACGGAAATCTGGATGTGTTGTGTCCGGATTCAAATCTTCAACTGTCTTCTCAAGCATATCCATCCAGCTCGGGGCTAAATGACAGTTTTGAAGTAGCACCCATGTGCCTTCCTTCACACCACGCTCAATCATTCGTAGGGCAATCGGTCCCTGACCTTGTCCCAAAGATAACGATTCGAACTTGTTCCCACCGAATCCCATATCATCGGCGAATTTCAACAAGGCAACCATTGGGTCAGCACCGGGAGACAGGACAAAAAGCAAGGGAACGGTGCAAGCTGAGTCAGCAAACGATCCTGGCAGATCAAAAGGCGGTGGCTCAATGTACGTTTTGCCCAAATTTTCGACAACATAATCTTGAATTGCAGGAACAATTTTATCGGGTCTAAGTATTCTCAAAAGACACATGAACTGTAGCTTAGTTTTCACATGTTCCAGTCCTTTGGGCAGGGGTTCGCGGTGAGGGGTTCCGCTGTCATAAATTAACTTCCAGGCGGCCAAATTCTTTCTAAAATGATCACGGATTCCGCCGAATACGGTCACCTCTTCCAATCGGCACAGTTCATCCCAACTCTTTGGCTGGAGCCACTCAGCCGGGTTCGTGTGTGGATTGTCCAATCCGACACCACCAGTTAGCAGAAAGCGCCATTCCTGTTCATTCAACTCTCCTCGATGCCTGCTCATATTGACCGCGAGCAGAAAGGAGAACAGCAGTTTGTCCTTTTCAAACAGAGAGCGACATACATTGCAGTACAAGGAATAAGTCAGGTACGTTCGCAGATTTGCCAGGCGTTGATCCAAGTCCTCCGATTTCTCGGAATTATCGATACCCATAATGAAAAGGTTGATGAACCAGGTAAGCGAGTACTGATACATCGGGTCGATATTGGCCAAATCTGCTATGGAAAAGAATAGGATTGTCGAATGCACGGCAATAGGTACATAGCCTAATCGAGCTGCATCGATTTTCTGTTCGGTCTCCTCGAAGTAGGCCTGCTTTTCGGCTATTTCATTGGATAATTCTTTGGAGGAATTTAGCACTTTGATGGCACTCTCATCTTCCAGAATATTGCCTTCGGACGCAGAGAGCACACCGAGAATTTGATCCTCCAATTCCTTTAGTTTCTTCTTATTCGCAGCCCCTTGAAGAATTAATTTGTTCTTCTCGTCTTCCAACTCTGGTCGTTCTCGGGCAACCACAATGCCTAACAGCTGATCTTGTAAGCCTTCCTGTGTTATCATGAAATTCATGAGCGTCACTTTGACAGCCGTTTCGGGTAGGTAATGAGGATTTCTCAGCTGTAAAGCACAGAAAATTTTATCGCAATAAGTACCTAAGGTTTAGTGCGCACTGTTAAACGTTAGTCAGTTGGAACAGATATCCGTGTTATAAGGACCGAGCCAATAGGCTCAACTGTTATACTGTTACTTTGTACATGCTACTTAGTACGGCCTGGAAATTGTTAAGTGATTTTGAACAATTTGGAGAGCTAAATAAAACTGTAAGTGGAAAATAACCGTGGAAAACCACAGAGGAATAGTAAAAATGGTAGAGAAACTATCTAAAGGGAGTATTGTATTCATGCGGGGGGCCATGGAGAATGGGAGAGACAACTACGCGCCGGATATAGGCGCTCGAATCGACTCGGTGTGAATGAAAGGGGTGAAATGACACCAGACTGAAGATGAGTAGAGTTTACTATTCTGCCGAACGTATGTGATGGATAAATCGTATCGTTGAAAGCTAAGATTCCTACTGTAAAAGCTCGAAGGCTGAACCCTCTTGAGGAATATGTGTTTAATGTTACTCGCAGCAGAAGGCACTGTGAAAAATAATACCGGGAAGTCACTTGAGAAAGCTGTAGAGAAGCTATGTGGATTTGTCCGGGCAGCACGCTTGCGAAACACGACCTCGAATTACGTCATTAGGTGATACATCCCTCGAAACGTTTGCCCTGTTACACATATGTTGTTAAGATTAGTACTGAATACTTGAATTTCCGGTATCTAAGATGGCCCTTGCTGTTTTCGTGAGCTAGCAAACTTCAGGCCTAGATTTGTGGTCATTTTTTACCGCCTAGTCTCCTCATCTATTTTCTTGTTCATGTGAAGTTTGAGTGAACCAAAGCAATCTAAATAGGTGACGAAGTTACAGTTTAAACCATCTTAATCTTAGGATTCTAGCGCCAACTTTCTGTGTGAATTACACTACTTACAAGAATCATCTGGCACAACTAGTGTTCATTGCAACACGTACAACTTACTTTTGTAGTCATATAGAAACGAAACTCATTCGAGTATTCAACCACCGAATCACCCAATTTGATGCACAACGCACCACCTTGTTTGAACGTCTGTTTCAAGAGCAACGGTTCCAGGATTGGATCCAGCTCCTCGCCAACGCCCTCCAGCAAAACTGGAGTGCCAAATTGTATACAGTTCTCCAGAGTTCGTACAAAATCACTGTCCGTGAATTTGATCACTTGCAAATTGTTCTTCTTCTCCATATTCTTCACCCATCTGTTCGCTTGACTCGTCGGATCAATCATCAGAGGCCATCGGCGTGCATTACTAATCAGAAGTGGGTAATAAAATGGTATGATTCACCTGAAATAGGTCTACTTGTAGGGCCATTAGAAAGAGCAAAAAACAATAGGTCACACAAACTCCGTTACAGAAGGTCTTCGAGTGTGACTTTTTTGCACAATCAAGCCTGCTTACAGGTTATTACGATTATAGGCGTGAAAATAGAAAGATTGCTAGGCATACTATCGACGTGCTGTGGTCCGCTCCGTTTCCCATCATTCTGCGCACGCTGGAGAATTGATGTACGACCATCTTCATGTTAGTTTAGGCAGGAAGCACAGATTGGAACCAACCACACTTGCGAGGAATTACCGGAATGACCGAAATGACCACGGTGCTTCGAAGTTAGTCCTCACTAGTTACCCAATAAATGTATGGGGTGCGGGATTTGTAGACTTGGCTTTCGACGCACTCTTGTTTGAACAGTCCTGCTCCAGATATGACGCAATTATTCTAGTGAGTCGCATCGGGGGAGCGGAATGACCGGAGTAGATGTTTGCCATTGTCAGGACTCATCAACGGCGTACAAACTTGGCCGTGCGAAGCTTTGAACTCCGGACGTGTGACGTGCTAGTCGAGCGTCTGCTAGCTGGACTAGCTGGACTAAGCCGAATAAGCATGTCTGAACTTGACTGGGAAGTCCTGACAGGTGGGTCAATCGATCGACACAACAAGGACATTCACTGGGTTATCGTTCGACTTGTCATGTGTACCAATCACATCGCTCAAGCGTGAACAACACATTCGCCTGTTCAGATGTAGTGAAGTATTGGTGACACCAGAGTTCAAACCGCGAGACTGCCAAAAGTGGGCACCATAGATGAGTTCTAATAAGAAGGAAACTCAAGTCCAGTGCTCCCCCCCCTTTGATGTGGACTAACCAGAATAATTTACTCAATATTCAATGGCCTCACCTTCCAATACTAATAATACAGCATCAGTGTGAAGCAACACTTCCTTCAACAGCGTTGCTCCCTAGAAGTTGACTACTCTGAGGAGAGATTTCGCTCAGGTTGTGTGCACGTTTGTTATCTGGATGGTCGGAAGGCTTCGGAACATCAGATCCATGCAACACGACTTCTATGGGGGATTAGCAGAAAAGACACTGGGTCTTACGCCAACGAAAGCAATGCTCCCCATGGATAGTGATGACAAGCTAGTACCCTGAACAAACTGTTATTTTAGGATTCTTCACGATGTCTACGGTAGATGTTCAGCGGTAAGCACCACGTGAAAACGCACGCCAATGCTGAATAAGGGATAAAGAACGTACGATTATAAGAAATTTTGGGCTGCGAGTCCCTGTAGGAATGGAGATATGATTTAGATTGACGAAGCGACTTATTGCTTACCATTTTCACTATAAATAAGTTGGCTCAGATATCTTTTGTGCAGGGAAACTAGGGGAGTGGGTTCAAGAAGTAGCAAGGGGGTGTACATACTCAGGTCGGAATGTATGGCTTATCCTAAGTCATTTCAGACCATCACTGATACAGCACAGTCGTCTGTTTCCACGATGGCAATGCACTGAGATCAACGATGACGTTGATAAGAGTAAACAGGCTTGTAACAGAACTACATTAGTGAAATCACAATGAGAAGAGTTGCTTACGCAATGATAATCCCGTTCTCCACCGAGAAATCATCCGTTGGCAGTCCAGCTATATTCCAGGCTCGAATCTCCACCGGATTACCTAAGGTGTTGACCAAACTGAAAACTGTGGAGCAAGGAATGGCACTGTCTCTTACAGCCTGAAGCCATTCTTTGATTTGGTCTTGTCGAAATGAAGATGTGAAAGCACCGAGGTAGGCTACCACACCACTTGAAACAAGCACGTCTCGGGATAGATTGACATATTGTCCACCCAAATTTTTGGCCGCTTCTGTCCATCGTGACTTCTCACCACCAAGACCACCGATCAGTGTTCGGCGCCGTTCCAGTTTCATCGTACAAATATCGACCTTGTTTTCTAAGTCTATTTTCTTTCGCTTGTTAAGCTCCAAGTCGTCGGTGAGGATGCGTAAGCGGTCTTGTACCTCTTTCAGGGCCGCACGCTTCTTGTTCAGAGAATCCATGGCTGTTGTGTACTCCTCCATAGCTCTGGCCAGAGCTTCCTTCTTTGGCGCAACAATCTTGGCCACCGCATCGTACCGATCAATAGCAATAACCCATTTGCACAAACCTTCACAAGCCGTGGAAGCAACAGCAACACGTTCAGGCTTGAAATCGGGGTTAGGAATATAGCGCTCACGAATCACTTTCATAATTGAGGCTGGTATGTTGTCCTTATCAAATGCCTTCAGATTTTCCAAAAACTTCATATCGCCAAGTAGTCTTTTTGAAGGACCCCAATAGTCTTCAATCTTTTTCCCAGAGCCGGGTGGGTCATTTATTCTGTCTGGTTTGATACCCTTCAACACGCAAACGGCTTCCATCACTAGACGTACGCCCGCCGGTGGCGAATCGCTTTTACTTCCATCACTAGACGTACGCCCGCCGGTGGCGATTTCATCGCTTTTACAATGGTTATATCCTTTGAAAGTAAAAGAAAGAAAACAGGATGTAGGTCACAATTGACTAAGCGGAAAGTATGGTTGGACATGGTTCCTATGCTCTTCATGAGCGATACCAATCAAAATATGTTGTCTGTCTGCCTGCCTGCCTGCCTGTCTGCCTGTCACGACAATAATGATACTAACTCTAACAGCTTACCGCTGGTGTGAGCGTTTCCAGTGCTTTCAAGGCTATTTCCAGAATAGGAATTGCCTCGGCCAAGTCCGCGTCGCACTCCTCCTTAATAGCTTCGGCTGCACGAGCCTGCTCACCGGCAATCGCTTCGTCCACTCGAACCACTTTCTCCTGTTTCGTTGCCTCTGCACTCTGTTGTTCGACCACCACCATGACAGCGTCCACTTCTTTACTAGCCTGAAGCAACTTCGGTTGGAGCGATTGCAATTCTTGTGACATGACTGCTATCTCCTCAGCTGCGCTGCTCAGCTTCTCCAATCCTACTTCGTATCGACTTTTCTGGAGAAGGACCTCACTGCAATGAGAGAGAGGCCACATGTGGATGCGCGCTTTGAATAGCTGGATTTGGGCCACAGTAGAATAAACGTTTTTGACGTAACACTATTTGACCTAATGTCGTTGCTCAAATTCATTCCTCAAGAGCTATGTAACATTGATTCATATAGAAATATCTGATGAATGCAACCTAATTTAGATTTTCTGCTCATCCTGTTGTTAGGGTCATGCACACATCAACTGCGTTCCGAAAAGTTCATTAATTGAGTGTAATTAGTGTTCATTTCAATGATAGTACCATGTGCCTATATGAATTTCCATGGTGTCCACACATATGCGGCCACGTTGCAGAGGATACGAGCCGACAGTCCTCGATTAGCACACAATTTTTTCATCATCATCATCATTGTAAGCTGTAATAACCGCGTACTTACCGTATAGTGGTTGTAGCTGTCACAGTTTCGTTCACCGATGATTCGGTGAGGTGGGGTAGGTAGCTGCGCATTGGAGGCGGGAGCTGACAAATTAGTGCGTAAATACGGCACTGTAGGTGGTTGATCAGATGGCCACTGACGTGCTCACTGAGGGCGGTAATTAGTTTACAATCGTCTCGTCTTCAGTCGAGGAGACATAATCACTCCGCAGTCATGTGGACATCCTCTAAGACATTGTAAGGGATCTCGTAGCCTAAGGGTATGGATCACACACATTGATTGATTACATTCCTTTGGTTAATCTATGGGACTTTGATAGAGTTGAAACATTCACCTATTCTCCTCGCTTTTCAGTTTTTATCCTGCCAGAAGATGGATATCTGTTCTACACAAAATTATTGAGTGACCCAGTAGTATTAATGACAAGCGTTTAAGTCATTTCAATGAATAGGTGCCATGCAGCTCGGACAAAGCACGAAAGCTACGGCACTATCATGTCACGCAAGCCAAGACAGAAATAGTAAAAAAATACGAACTTGGGGGTCGAACCATGAACCTTACGCTCATTAGCGTTATTTCTTAGCCGAACTGGTTCGGGTTTGGATCACTTAATGAGCATACGTGGTCAGCTTGGGTGAGATGACTATGGAATTCTGTGTGCATTTGTGTGGTCTATAGCCGCAATTGGCCATCTGAAAATACCTGGTCTCACGGATTCTCCTGCTGCAGCAAAAGAGACAGCACACATAGTTCAGTCACCATTTGTTGTTTTCCGGAGTTCAAAGGGCGTAGCACATGTTGCCTGCCTGAGGTTGCATAGTGTGAAAAGCACAGAAACGCCACAGAACTTCACAAAGACATGGTACGAATAATTCCTCAGTACTATAGTTCAAATATAAAAATGTTGTGGGATTCCTCGCGCATCAAATTTAACTCGGCACTGCGTTTCCGGTTGAATAGAGCTCATCTAACAGGAATTTTTGTGTGCAACTGACAGAACCGTCTCTTACTGCACAGTCAGCTTAGCTCAGTTTACCTTCCGGATTTGAAAATCAGAATAATTGTTTGTGTGCTGCAGGTCGAAGTTGACTGTCAGCTTGGAAGTACGCTGTGGATAGAAATGACGAAGCCTTGGACCGAGGATGTGCTACTTGTCGAACGGGCTAGGTGTCAAATTCTGATCATTGTGAAGATTCCTCGACAGAGCTAACCAACTTCCACGGATTCTCCTGCTGCAGCAAAAGAGACAGCACACATAGTTCAGTCACCATTTGTTGTTTTCCGGAGTTCAAAGGGCGTAGCACATGTTGCCTGCCTGAGGTTGCATAGTGTGAAAAGCACAGAAACGCCACAGAACTTCACAAAGACATGGTACGAATAATTCCTCAGTACTATGGTTCAAATATAAAAATGTTGTGGGATTCCTTGCGCATCAAATTTAACTCGGCACTGCGTTTCCGGTTGAATAGAGCTCATCTAACAGGAATTTTTGTGTGCAACTGACAGAACCGTCTCTTACTGCACAGTCAGCTTAGCTCAGTTTACCTTCCGGATTTGAAAATCAGAATAGTTGTTTGTTTTTTCGCACGGGATAATCTTCCAGGTTTCCTTGTCTACATACACATTTATGCCTCCCATCAAAGATGAACTAGGTTCTACGGGTAAATCCCATGAATTCACTCACGTCGGTTTAGTAAACAAACAGGTTCCAAGGAATTCATCTGGAAGGGGGCACGAGTGCTATGGTAATCACAGTAAACTCAAAGTTCTCTTCGAAACATTAAAACATGAGTTTCGCCTTGAAATTTCTCTTTTGTGAGCAGCGCAATGCGTATAGATGCCTTGTTACAGTCTGAGACCAATCTTTAGATACCCTCAGGCACGGAATCCACTCGGTTGTAGTTTTTTTTATTATAGCTAGTGCTCATATTGATTCAAAATACTAGTCAGAATCTAGTACAACGAGGCCCACTTTAACAAGCACATCGTAATCGGATATGACAATTATGTCAGCCCTTATAGTTCTATCATACAGTACCCTGAATGAAACGGACATTTGTATTCTTGTCCAGATGATTAGAAAACCTAACGTAACTTATTTCAACATGTTAAGTGCCAATATTTGCCTCTGATGTACTGTGCGAATAATGATGTACACTAATTGCTAGATTGTGAACGAAGAAGAGGTTTCCAGGACCATCAAGACGGCAGAACGGCTCGTGGAAGCTTCCAGAGTGCAATCCTGATAGATATCGCATCCAAAATCCGTCATATCACTACTACACTATCCCAGATAAGCAATAGAGTCTAACATCAGGCCGAATAAGACGGCTTCCGTACAGGAAGATGTTGAGTCGGTAAAATTTTCCCAGTACGTCGCGCTTTTGATTACCTCTAAAAATACCAGCAACTAAACACCGCTTGCTTCGCTGAGTTCTGTGCAGTATCAGCTCATCTCACACTGATCTTGAAGGCTGATGGTATGCCAGGTAAGTTTCTGCTACTCAGTAAAAATGTGTCGAAATTCAGCCTAGCCTCGATCAGGTCGACAGCTGCGCTTTGGTGGTTGGAATGGAACTGAATCCTGTAGAAAAAACAGCGCTGTTGACCAGAAGAATGAATGACTAGTAAGGTCCACTTAGTGTTAACTGAGAGTTTATAGAGTAAGTCGATTTTCTCACGTGGTTGGGTTCCGTCATCCTTGCAAGTAATCCACTGCGGCAAGAGATAGACATTCGCATCAGTAACACAAGGGGGACGTTCATTTAGCTTCAAATCGCTTTGCGAAAACGCTTGGAAATCATCCTTCAAAAGAAAAAGTGTGTAGGCTGTGATTCCTGCTAACATAAGCCTGTGGGACCTGGCCTTTCCAAACTGCCGATCATCAAAGACTCGAAGTATTTAACCACCGGTACTGAGAAGAGTACTCTAAGCACCTTAATAAAAAACAGGGCATTAAGTGTCGGGGGTCGTTGTCACACCATACTACGCATCTGTAAGTTGATCCGGTAAAGTAGGCCACATTGACCGGCGGACGTTCTCCGCCAAAAAGACTCCGAACTGTCCACAATCTCCCCTGTCGCCAGTGCCTAGCGAAGATTGGCGCTGTTGTACCGGAGGACAATAGAAAACATGGCCACATACACCTGAGGCTGATCTTAAAACACCTGTTTGAATGGGGGGCCTAGGAGGTCAAAAAGTACAACAGAAACTGATTAACGTGCATGAACCTTGTTGGCGATCGAATTGCACGAGGAGCAGCGATCTGTGATGTGCTTACATCTGACTCATCTTCTTCCGGGAGAAGATCGCCTTTAAGCAAAGTAATCAAACACTACTTACGTTCGTTTCTTCTCCAATAGTGTCATGAATGTAGTGATCAATTCCAGGTACGATGTCGGAGTCACATAGTTGTGTCTTTCCAACTCGAGCAAGTAGCGCACCGATAGATCTCTGGTGCTTGTGTGGAAATATTTGCATAGTTCAATGCAACCCTCACGCACCTCGTCACTCATGTCAACCTCCTTGAGTGATCGAGTTGCCACTGCAGTCAGAGCGTCTTCTGGCCAGACCTATAAGTGAAAACAAGGAGTCTGCAGATGAAGGGAAGTTTGAAGTTTACAGAAAAAACCTTAATTGTACAGGATCCTTCAAAACAGACTAATTATGAGCGATCCTTTGAGGGTTTTCTTGAAAGTTACTGTTTTGAGGGGACTATCGATAGGACTCAAACATGAGGAGTATACGGTCAGCTTGGTAAGCGTTGGATCCAAATTTTCGATTTAACTGTTAAGGCGAACGATTTCACAGCTACCAAATAGCTCCCGAGTAGTCATGAACTAAACAATTTTCAAGCCTGCTTTGCTTGATGCCAGTTGCCAATCTTGCTTTTGCATCCCAGTAGCAACTTAACAGATCGTGGAGTACACAAAATGTTCGGTTCCTGTCAAGATCCTAAAAATTTTGTTCACATCGGTGGGTCCCATAGTGCTCAACCATATGAAACAGTAGGCCCCGTCGGGACTCAATAGGCTGGCGTAGAGAGATCGTACAGGATGAGACACCATTTTGTACAGCTTGAGGATTTGACTTGAACGTGCTGAAAAACCGAGAAACACTGTACAACTGTTTCATCCCTATAGGGAATCTCACGGAACTACAGGGGTTCCAAGAACGGCGACCTCCTGGTTAGTGGCTCGAGCACTTAACCGCTCAACCACGAGCGTCTGATCAGCACTTCAATAGTCTAAGTGGATCCCGTAATCGAAGGATTAGTGGCGTTGCATCCTGTCCAAGTGCGGGTTCATCACACTGCTTATCAGCCGCTCGTCATCGAACGGTTAAGAGTTCAAACCACTAACCGGGAGGTTGCCGGTTCGGAACTCCCTTGAGTTTCCTGTGATATGCACTGATGATGATTTCCAGTGAGGATAAAACAACTGTTCAGTGCTCTTCGGCTTTGTGGCACCGATTGACATCAAGTACAGGATGAAGGAGTTCTACCCTATCACCAATAACCGATATACCTACACCATCATCATCATCATCATCACTGTCAGCATTAATAACCGCCTACTTGCCGTACAGTGGTTGTAGCTACCACCGTCTCTTTCACCGATGATTCGGGGAGGTGGGGTAGGCAGCTCCGCATTGGAGGCGTGAGCTGATTAATTAGTGCGTAAATACGGCAATGTCAGCGAACTGTTAGGGGGGAGGAATTGGGAAGGGAGCTATGCAGTGAAGGCAATAGCTTGGATGCATGAGCGTCATTGAAAGCGGGACTGGATAAAAACCTACAGCACCAGCGTCATTCACACCGGTTAATGATTGTGTTTTGAAAGGTCTCCATCAAAGCGCAAGATGAGTCACGTGCGACCCATCCTAATGGACGAATAGTACTGACAGCGCTCGGATTTTTCACAACCTCTCAACTTTCATCTACTGTTCAATATTGCATGATAAAGCAAGACCGCTCTCGAAAGCATATGGAGCACCTGGCCAGGCTGTCTCAGGATGTAGTGCTACACACATTTCCCATGTTGACTTGAGGCTTCACCGAATTCTCCTTCCTGATCGCTTCGTCGCGAATTCATTAATACCAGTCCACAGTTCTGAAACGTTCATAGTCAAAAACCTGACAATTTCTCAGATCTTCCGGCTAAAAAAATCCATCTCTCAAAACTGTACATAATAGCCAGTCAACACGTGTGACCACGTGACACTCTCGAGTACGCTATGCATGGAACGCAATCCGTACCACTGAATGCAGAGATTTCACCTGATGTATGTGCGCGGTCTCTAGTTTTGAGCTTCAACTGAGTCTGGACCGAAAGATGCTCTCTGTCAATTGTGTCCAACCGATGTTTCAATCAGTATGCTGACACTTGTGATAGGAAAACCCATCCAATAGATTGATAAGAATTCCAAAACAAGCAGCTGAATCCTGGGGCACAATCGTGGTAGATACATGCCTCCATTCTGATCAAAATGTTCTAGAAGGATTTCATTATTGCACGCATGGTTCTTTTTTATGGCTAATTTCTTACGCAACAGCAATGACTGTTCCATTTTAAAAACATTGCCTGCGGGAGAAATACCCTGGGGGCGAAATCCGAGTACAGACGTAACTGCTTTGCGGGATTCGCGGATGCACAGTTAGACAGTAATATCTAACCAGAAGTTCTTAGGGTTTCTGTATCATTAAGAGAAGCTGGTATGTAGTCAGATTCCGAGGGTAATGCCGATACAGCAAACCAAAAGTTGGGTTTGCCATTTCGACACAGGAATGTAGAATACAGCTAAAGCGAACTGTGTGCAAGATGTATGCACTCGCATCAGAGAGGAAGATTGCCGACATGTCAATTTCGGACTTTCAATCGACTGCCCGTAGAGACATATGCAGTCGGAAAACCGAATACGTTCTCCCAAGGTTAGTTATAACCCATTCTGCACGCTGCGAACGCCTTCGAACTTGGCACTGGTTGTGTGGAGCCACAGAGATCAAAACTCTGTGTTGGTATTTCATCAGTTAGCTTCGCTGACAGCCATTTGCATGCAAATGCACTTACATCACTCTTGTTTGTAATACTATAGTGAAGCATACGAAGAAAAATAACAACCTCAGAACCGTCCACTTGAACGCTACGGCCAAATACCCCGAGGTTAAAAACGACCTCCGCTAGTGCCTTTCCTCCTGCTCCTGCTTAAAACCATCGCATTCAATGATACAGCTACCCCTAAGACGAACTTCCTTACAAGGACCGATGGAATCTTACCTGGAACCAGTCGATTGTACAACAATTAACCAACGAGGGGAACTTCCTCAGCCGATTTCGGAAGGAATCTCCGATTGGACTGAGGGCAAGCACAATATGCAGTTGTTCGCGGACTCGTTGAATGAAATAGTTGAACAGTGCCACTGGTGACCCGTCCGTCTGTTTGCTCCGTTCACGTGCTCTGTCCAGCTGGCGCATCTTTTCACACACCTCCATCTTTTCATCTGGTGGATAGAGGTTTGGCACTTCGCCCGCATTCAACAAATTATTGATGTCCTCCAAGAAACTTTCACTTTTGATTTGGGAATCGGCAAACAGGAATACGGCATGATTGTCTGTTTCGCTGGCCTTGCGAAGAATCCGTTTCAGGTCCTCACGCCACTCGGTCATCCCGTAGCTTTTGGATATTTCTACCTGTAGCGAAAGAAAAAACCATCTCGTTTGCTTGATAAAGTGGTACCACAATAGCACTGTCTGGTGGGCATTGTCCATTGTGTTCTGTAGACCGTCACTCAAAATCTACTGAAAAAGGGCCCACAAGCATGGTGTCAACTGTATAAGTATCCTAGAAGAAGGAAAGTCTTCAGCAACCTTATGAGTAGTGTCTCTCCAAGACTTGCTTTGCAACAAAAAGCTGACAATGGAGTACATGTTGTCAATTCCTGTTCAAATTGTCTGAATGCGTGTTTAGGGGATAGAGTGTACATCAGGATGATTGTGATACGCTAGTACAGGTTCTCTTCTCCATCCACGTTTCCAAATACATTATGGCAACAAAGTAGCAGTACTGAACACTGATGATGTGCTGTTGATGACAAATATGAGGTGAGGATTCTACTGGTCTATTGCAAGGTCTTGCGGATTGATACTATCTGCTGGGAACTTACGATGAGGATACCAATGCAACCGTGCGAAACGGTATCAAGTCAGATTTGGGGTCTGATTATGCCAGGAAGATGCCCTCTGGCTTCACGACTTTTGTTTACTGTAGGGTTGTGAAGCAATAGGAGGATATGCAGATCCTGCAGCAAGTTACGAAGCAACGCGATCAGCCAATAACTTTCCGAATCCGGTTGACGACCGATCGATATGGAACCTCAAGCATAAGAAACACATGTCTGGTCAATTTTCCACATGCGACTCACCTGAAACAAGTCGAAATCGCTCATATGTGCAGCCAGTCTTGTGAGAGACTGGCGACCGGAGCCACCGATTCCGACCAGCAAAGCATGGGAACGAGGCTGCTTCAGAATACGCGAGATTCGACAGACATGCTCGATAGCGAAACGGAAAAGCACCAGGTTCATTGGCTTTTTGCTCAACTGATTGTATTCCTCCAGATAACTTTCGGCCACTTTTCGTAGACGTTCAATGTCGCGTACCTCAACATAGTTTCGACCACCTTTTGGGTCGGAAAAGTCACAGAACATGAGGGAACGTAGATCGTCTTCGGTGATCTGGCAGGAAAACACGGGAGGAAGGCTGAAAGTGGGACAGTGTATGAGCACAAACAGAAAGCCTACAATCCGTTTCAAGACCGGAAACATCATAGCCTATTTGCTCACAGTGGATTACCTAGTTGAAGGTACGACTGTGGGTATGGGAACATAGATTGTGTCCTGCGAACAAAGGGTCTCACACACTGCTGTACTCACCTCCTCGGTACCACGAGATAAATGCCCGAACAGCATTTCAAAATTGGCCTCCAGTTGGTTTCTAACACAGTCTTTAATGAATTCAAACAACCACTTGCGGTCTGCATCATCAACCAGACGATCGTAGTAGACACGAAACGCTTCGTGAACCCACAGACGTTTCAGAGAAAGTGTATCCATTGTATCGGGTAGCGAAAGTAGAACACCTTGAATCACGCGGCTGAAATCACGCAGATTGAACAGATAGTGCGATTTGGCTGGAGTTGGAAGTAGGTTCTGCATCGCGCCCTTGTGAACGGCCAGTGTGGCAGAGACGAGCTGATTGGGTATCTTCAAGTAATCTGAAGAAAACCCTCTTGGGAAGGAAAGGAACAATTTCATACACAGGATACAGTAAGCAGCCGCGGCAACAGTAAAAAGTCCAACAGAGCTTATGTGGTAAAACATCAAACAGCTTGACTACAATGCGTCCGTACCACTATCTCAAGCTCCGTGCCGTTTCCGACACCATCGTTTTTAGTTGCATTTTGTTTCCGACGCACCGACTTAAACGAAATCAAAGTAGGATGACACGAATTAACCAACAAACAGTAAGTAATCTGATGAGGAGAGAAAAAATTCTGCACCGTCCGTCCATACGAGACGTCATCACTTGATGAGCCAATCAACGCCGGCTCACGTGACGTAAACCGGGTGGCATATGTCCTATCCAATTGTGAGCTAATCACAGTCACCCATGGCTCACAGTCAGTATGAGTCATCCCCGAAATTCTGGGGCACATTGACTATCCCAAAAAAGGACGGGACAGCTGTACAGGGCGCCCCGAATTTTAGCGTAGATTGGCTCCACATGTAAGATGAAATTCCAACCGGAACTTCCACACACACACACACACAACCACTACCTGTAAACCGGGTGGCATATGTCCTATCCAATTGTGAGCTAATCACAGTCACCCATGGCTCACAGTCAGTATGAGTCATCCCCGAAATTCTGGGGCACATTGACTATCCCAAAAAAGGACGGGACAGCTGTACAGGGCGCCCCGAATTTTAGCGTAGATTGGCTCCACATGTAAGATGAAATTCCAACCGGAACTTCCACACACACACACACACACACCACTACCTAAAAACTGCAAATTAACATATTCTCAGATAGGACCTAAGTATAACTAGAAGGCAGATGAAGAATTGAATCTACTTATAATCATCGAGGTTTTCTGAGTTCTAATCCTGTTTCTACGGCGAAGCTTCAGTGGCAATTATATAGATGTTACATCCAGCCCGCATGTACCGGTAGACAAATTAAAAGGCTGCAGCTACAGGTCGGATCCTAACATGAGGTTCACCCGCAAAAAGATGTTGGGACTACATCAGTTTGCCGAGTCTCTCTTAATTTACCCACTTGATATCCACTTTGGTCCAAACACGTTCTCATGGGATTTTACTTCACTGTTTATGGTCTTGCCATAGGAGATAAATTTAAAACGTCAACCGAATTATACGCAATTGCATGGACCTTGGACGCCAGAAGTGTTATTTGGTCATTTGAAGCACAATCATTTGAACGATCAGGTCTGCTCATATTTTTTTTCAAATAGATGCACTTTGGCCGGATATTCGTCATATTCAATATGATACTGACGTACCCGCAAGAAAGACCTTTGCATCCAAATGTTGCATGGATAAGGCACACAAAATGCTGGGTCTATCGGTAGTTGCAGGTTGTATGCACTTCGACAATGTCACAAAATGTTCTTTTTCATCGACACATTGCGTGACACTCCTCCTGATGTTTGGCACAAACTGCTGTCAAATCCAGTCGTCCGGCTTGAGCAGCTGACTACAATCACTAGTCCTTGAGCCACACACTAGTACTTCTTTTGTAGACAGGCAGCGTAGCATGAATATCAAGACAAACTGGGAACAGTGGATAAATCATCGCATGCTCACCAGAGTTGAGGCCGAATCTGTAGTCTCTAAGACAAACTTCATCCTTGGACCAGACAATTCTGCGTTCCTTAAATGGTCTATTCTTTGAGGACTACTGAATTTGAAAACAATTAGGAGCGCTAGCATTCTAGGAGCCGAAGGCCTATGGAAACTTGGGATCCGGAGGACGTGTTTTATTAGCTCAGTCTAGCAGGAAATCTAGTCAGTGTTTCCAGATGACTGGGCGCAGCTTGTATCGGTGCATTTGGCTTGATTACAATCAAATTAAACGCTACACATCGTTACTGACTGTTGTACTCCCTAAGACTTCTCACGGAAGGTATCTACATCGAGGGTTTGCGTTAGACCGTTGATACTTTCACTTTACTCTACCAGTGTTACTTGTTTTGTGTCAATGCAACTTGAGCTTAAATGTGAAACTGAAGCTGCTCGGTATGACGTGCACCGTCCGGGGTTAGACTGACTGATTAAATCATATGACTGAAACCCTAGGTCCATAATTTCAGCGTACACGTCTGGCTTGACGAAGTCCAATGGGGCCTTGGTAAACAGCCCAGCTAAGTTACCCGACCAGATATGGGCTCAACTTCCATGTCTTACCGTATTTCTATCACGGTGAGTTAGAGGGGTCATTTGAACTATGTTCATATATTAGCATCGAACATAGCAGGTATTCGCCAGGCAACGTGAACGATACCTCTTGGATGCGGCTGAAGTAATTTGAACTTGCCGTCGGATCCCGATAGAAAGTGAGATGCAGTCTACTAAATGTATCAGTCCTGCTCAGAATTCGTCAGTGGTTAATTGTTGCTGCCTTATTATACTCAAACAGTATTTCTACACTATCTCAATTTCGGCCAATCGGGTTGTCCTTATGTATTCTCTACTGATTGGTAACTTCGAGGACTGTACCATACATAGGACATTCGGAAATGGTTGTGCATCGCATTGGTTGACAGACTACTTAAATGCGGCAATCATTAGTAAGTGGATGAAGTGGTAGTAGTAGCGATAGATTACACAGTGGTAGCTTGTTCTTCGGACGAGGTATGAGAGTGGCGTGATTGGATGTTTTGTGATTGAGATTCACTATTTATAGGATATGTATGAGCCCCAAATGTGTGGGTGTGGCATGAATGCACGGGTACTGGACATTTTTACTATGGACTCACTTCACTTGCATATGCCAATCCATTATACGCATGAATATGGTTCTCATCATGTCATCTTCGAACTCGTTCACCGTGACAGTGTTCAGGTGACGTAGGAAACGAGGGGTTACGGGATTTCGACCGCCGCCAGGTGGCCCCATTGCACCGATGAACAAGAGATCTACCAGCTTGATAGGATCGTTAGTTTTTAGATCATACCTTGAAGTAAAAGAGGAATCAGATGGGGAAAATATGCCCATTGGTTTGACATAATTGCATCTATTCTGTTGTAGGTGCTAATGAGCTACTGAAGTGTCTTGCTGATTCCAAGGGGAAAACAACACAACCAGATGAGAACCTGCATTTATTTCAAGCTTGACCAGGATGACGCGGACAAAATATATGAATTAAACAACAGGTGGGATTAACACGAACACGACCTATCCTACAAATGATTGTTCGGTCTTCTACATCACTCCCTTTCGTCTGATCGGCGGCTGCTGGTGCTGCACCGTCAAAAACCGCTGCTTCTGTTGTCAATCTAGCAACAGTATCAGTTGAGAAGAAGCCGGTTTCCATATGTGTTCCTCTCAGAGGTGACCCCCCTATAACTTGAGTGATGCCACACAAACTCCAAACAGGCGTCAAAAAGAAGCACGCGGCAATAACTTTCGACTGAAACCTATTCTTAGCACGAAACCAACAGATATTTTGCTGCACCAAACTACAAACAGCCTGTATGTGTAGTCATTCGAGCGACCATTGTGTGATTATATGATGGAACCTGTGAACACTGTCCAGTTTGGCTGGTCTGATGAATTTGGTAGTCCAATTACAGTCCATTCGTTATGCATTTGATTCATTCTTCTCCTAGCGTCGTTCAGATGACGCATCGAATCAGCAGATCCTTCAAAGACCACGGTAACTCAACTGCACCCTGTTGCCGAGGCCATATCAATCGGGGTGCACAAAAACGGTACACAGAAAGCAATATTTATTTATTGTTTCCTCATACTGGAATGGATAGGCCTTAGAAATCGATTGTGCTCTACTGTGACCTACGAAAAGTATGTAGCTACCCAGTCACCCAAGTGCTTGACTGTTCAGCTCACAGCCGCTCACCGGATCACGACACCTGTCTTTTCTCAGGCCCACAAACCACGTCACATTAAGGTGACTCATCGGACATCGGTTATCTATACCGTCTAGTGAGCGTAGCAACAACTCATGTGCTGACACGCCCACGTACACTGACACGTAACGGACCTACCTATAGGGAAACCGAACACAGTCAGCACACAGACTCGCGCGCGCGCAGGGAGCAGGAAGTCAACCACTCTCCACAAGTCCACGGACAATTATGGGACACGTGTAGCAGCCATACTGCGGAGAAAAACACATTGCCGCCGTCCGGACTTTCACCAGGGAACTCTCACAGACGATAAGTTCCTTTTTTGACTTGCTCCCATTTTGCACTGTATTTATTTTTACACGTGTGGCATTCCACCATTGTCAACTATACTAAAAACGTTTATTAGTGCATATACCTTCTGAATTGTATTGTGGCCATCATCAACGGTGCACTAAGTACACATTTAATCAGAGTTATCGAAAATATCCATAATATTATTGTGGACATTATGATGCTCAAACCAGGCTATGGGACTGTTTTGTTAATCTCGATAAGAAGAAATATGATTTAAAACCTTTTAAAACCTGACGACTCCCTGTCTGACGCCTCCTTAAACACATGCAGCTGAACGGTATAAAAATAATTGGATTTGCTGAAGACTCTTCGACAGCCGACAACTGGTCTCGCACTTCTTAGGGTTCATCAGGTGGGCACAATCCCCGAGTTTCCGTCAATCGTGTGCAATCGATCGTGCAATCCACTGCTGTGCACGCAGACAGATCTTGGAGTAGTCTTGATACCACCCTAGTTTCAGTGACTGAATTACTGGAAAAAGAACATTTCTATGTGTTTTTTTTTTGTAATTTCTGTTACGTTTCATGTGATCTTACTCGGTCCTGCACTTTTGCGGCCATAGAGTGTGCGAGACGATGTCATTCCGCAACTAAGTTGTTCCGTCTGCACATTTCAAACTAATCAAGGGAAGCCGGCATTTCAAATGACGTCCCGTTGGACGCAGTACACTAATATTCTATGCACTATTCTATTCATTAAAAAACAAAGGAATTGGTTATCGAGTGAACCAATCCCACCATTATTCCTTGAAACCTCAGGAGTCTTGCGCTTGCGCACCATTCGCAAACATATGAGAAGACCACTGAAGAGTGGTGGTAGCAATCCCTTCTGTATCAGCTGTTCTGGGACTCAGAATAGCAGGCGTGAACTGCTCACATCCTGATAAAGCCTATCCGTGGTAATGGATAGTCTGGGTCGTGAAAATCTGCTCACCAAAGGTGTGGTATTGTTCGCTAGGAAGCTGCTTGGAGTTGAGGAGCAATTGGGCACTTACGGCAGCAGTAGAAGGGACAAGCGCAAATAAAGATAGCCATCGATGCACGAGAAAGTGTGCACCAAAATACAACAGTCGTATGATTAGTGAGTAGCATGTGTTCTATAGAATGTGTTTACTTGTTGCTGGCAACGAGGATTCGTCTCGGTATGATGGGCCGCCTAAGACCGACATTGTGTAAAATATATGTATTTTGAAATGGAGGATTGAGTTTATTAAGACATTTGTGAAGCAAATGAGTAGCTCCAGGATGGCTTACACTGCAACATGAGTTCGAACTCTGTTGGATTTCGCAGTTTAACCGTGCTGATGTATGGAGGATTCTGCCATGGGTCACGAAAAGTTGAGAATAACATTTAACAACCTTCATTTGGTCACGCCCTCTGGGAAATTTTCCCACATGAGCAAAGTCAATAAATCATTTCGTCTCCCTTTGTTTTGTCGTATTGTATAGGCATATCATCAAAAAACCGAATAACGTGAACTAAAGGTGACAACGACGTGTACCAATATATCAAAGCCGTTTGTGACTTGAGTTCACGTTCTTCATAATTGGTCAAACAGCAGTTGTTCGATCGAGCTAATCCTCTCGGTGTCGAGGATAGTTGGGTTTTCCCGATGAACGTATGAACAGAACTATCGATTAATCGATTTCAGCACATCTCACCGTGTCGGTCTCCGATTGGTTGCAGTGACTCTACTCTCGCATTCTAGGCACACAATATGTGAGATTAATAAATGTTGTTGAACCTAAGGACGGCTAATTTTTCAAAGTTATACCATGTCAGTTTGAGTACGAGGAGAGCAGAAATGTCCTATAAGAACTATGCATACTGAAGTTAAGTGATGGGTTATGAAACCCATCATCTCTGAGCTAACACGTAACCAGGCAGATGTTAAAAGATGACGATGGGTGATGGAAACCAGTGAGTTTCCTCCAAGATTCATACTCTTTCTGTCGGAACCACTGCTTGTCAAACGTCAGTTGCGTGCGTGTCTGGAGCCCAAATCCGTATTTGGGCTATCCGTGTGATTCAACTGTCCGGTTGTCTCCACAGAACTAAAAAGTTATGCACAACCAATTAGGCTAATAGATGGCTTTAGAACCGTCTCTCCTGTACATCCTCCGGTGTGATTCCCTCAGGTTTACACCGGGCGCAGAGCGCTCCGTTGGTCGCACACTCGGCGCAGCGCCAACCGTATGTGGCGTTCCCGATCGCACGTAGTTTGGTGTTACGTGCAACAGAGGGCAGCGCGTGGTGTAGCATATCACCCGCTTGTTTCTACAAAAACTTGCCGCTTGTTGGAATTGTACAGTCTATGGTACCTCCACCTTCAAGCAACAACGAAAAATACTCTTCCGGTTTCTCGAAGTTGAATTTGAGGATGTATTTAAAGCTTCAGTTGTCGCTAGAGGTCTTCTCTATACATCAACGAACGACCTAACCTGGAAAAAATAACGACTTATCCAATCTCATCAGTAAAGGATCCCTCTTTAATATAGGTGAAAAAACCTTGGTTCAGCACCAATGTTCAAGGTGGACCGCTTGCTGTCAATGACTTCTGATTGGCACGATTACTTCAAGACTGGATATAAAATCGGTGATGGCTTACGTGTGTAAATTGTCACTGGCAACCTAACTATAAAGCCGCTTTCAATTTCTGTTCCCTAAACGAAAAGTGTTTGGCTGTTACGTCTCTCACGTCCCTCGGTACCATAATGTCCGTCCGAGTTACAAATATCAACGTTATGCCTGACTGTCCCCTCAAAGAGTTAAGAGGGTTTCATAGCGAGTTCTCTGAATATTGGTCCCTCAATGGCCCTCGTGCATCAAAGCTATTGCCTTCAATGCATAGCTCCTTTTCCAACCCCCCACTTGACAGCCCACTGGATTTATGCACCAACTTACCAGCTCGCGCCTGCAATGCGCAGCTACCTACCCCCTCCCCCAAATCATCTGTGAACGAAACTNATCATCGGTGAACGAAACTGCGGCAGCTGCAACCACTGTACGACAAGTACGCGGTTATTACAGCTGACAATGATGATGATGATGATGATGATGATGATGATGATGATGATATTGGTCCATTGCAGAGATGTTATGCCTTTCCCTGGTTTGTGAAAAACTAAGCGACGTTTTTACCGTGTTTTTTCGCCATGTTTTCTACCAACCGATGTGTTTTGTAAACCTATTTACCTTTGCATACGTCTAACCACTATATCTTTCGAGTCTCACCTAAAACCTGCTCCAAACTGAACTGTGAACACTAATCAATCCTCAAAAATGTCATATCTGAGGGCGTATCCTGAGTACACACTCCCTTGTTTATCCCCCCACACGTGGCTGAGACCAAAGATTTTATAGTTTTGAATATAATAATCTGTCCATATGATGTGATACACTTTTTTGTTACCTGGAGTTCTCCCTGAATTTGTGTTGTTCATAGGAAACTCTGATCCCGGACCGTTTCACCTCTGCTGCATTCAAGGAACTCAGGTTAAACAAAAAGTTTAAATAACCGAAGATGAGGCCATTAGGCCAGAGAAATCCGGGCTGAATGTCATTTGCGCGAAATTCATCTTGCGCCCAAGTGGTAGGAGTAGATGACAGGCTATCAAAAGCCTTTTGGGCCAGAAAATGAGGCATTCTGTGGCTGTTAGCGAAAGACGTTTATGACATCTTCAGAAGAGTGTTCGGTAATAATATAAGTGCTGTGTTACGTCAAGAATTCACAGACAGCTTCTCCACAAAAACATACTATTGTCCGTTCGGACACACAACCCAGTGGTCAACTAAAGATACCATTCCCAGAAGCCCGAAAGTCCAAACAAAGCCAACGTATCAGACAGTATGCCTCCGTTAATATTAAATTCCTGCTACTAGGAAGTGCCTGTTCCCCTGTGGCAGTTGTTTAGTGGACCACTGGAGGTTGACGAAGCATCGCTAGAATAATTGCAATATCGAAAGCTTGTCACTCTAGTGCTTCGCCGAAATTCCGTCCGATTTCATCTAGTTCTGTTTCACTGAAAATTCTTGAATGTTTTCTGCTTAGCATTATGATACCTTCACTGAACGTCTCCAGTGACGTACAACATTACGCATAACACGCGTGGATATGCCATGGATGCAGTAACCTGTTTTCATCACGCCATTCTGAAGGTTCTATACACCGGAACAAAGTGCATCCGGGGCTGCTTTATGACCCATAACAGTACTTCCGATTCAGTCAGTCGAGAACTTCTGATTTCTCGGCTTTTGGGGACAGATATCAAAAAACCTCACCTGTCCTTCTTACCCAACTACTTTACCGACCAAAATTAAGTTCATATTGGCTAACGTTGTCCAAAGACTCTTACCAATGAGACCGGTATGCCTCAAACAGATACTGTGGCACCATTTCCATTCGCACACAGACCCCTTGCAACTTAACAAAAGTGCATCCCAATAAGATATGCGGAAGACACTGCTGTTCGAACGAGATCTTTGATCCGCGTGCTAGTATGTACGCGCTATCACGTTGTACGTGAATCCATCTAAATACCCAGAGGATGCGTTCACATGAGGAACATCTTGAGGCTATTCCGCCTGCTCTGTTCCTAACTGCCGGCAGTGATTGCACACTTAATTGTATAAGATATCCTATGGCTTGTGATGACACGAACACCGTCCGACAGACATATAAATCGATGAGGCTCTTCATCCATTGTACTCAGAAACCCAGTAGTATTGGTTTGAATTTGTGCGCAAGAATATCAGCACAAAAAGCGCGTTATCTCGCTCATTCAAAGACCTCTGAGTCATTCTGCAGAGTGGGAATTTTAAAATCAATGCCCATACAATTCGCTCATCATCAGAAGGTTTGCGAAATTTCTCCCGTTGCCTTCCAAGTTAGTAGTTGGTTCTTAGGTTTCCGAAAACTTATCGTTTATATACACACACGCATTTATATCCTGAGTAGAGCGACTGTCTTAAAATTCTCCAGTAACGACAAATATGGAAAACCCGTTGTCTTCTCTTGTTTGGTCTGAGACGTGGTTCACACAAAGAGTGTTTTGGCCACTCGAATGGGTGGATCTGCTTAAAACTTGTAGCTGACAGGGCACGATGGAATACATGAAGGATCTCTCCAATTGTCTATCCCTTGGAACACCATTCTTCCTTGTCTCTCAGTCATTCAGTGGTTTCTTTGTTACAAGCCTCCACCAGAAAGACCCGGGAGTCCTTGTGTAGTCTCAGTTGACAGAGTAGTTCAGTTGACATTGCTGGAATCAGCACACAGTTTTAGTGGCTATTTCTCTTGGATAATGACTCATAGCTGCCCCAGTGAGTCAGACGAGCGTCATAATTTCGAACGATTTCTGGACCAATCACCGTATTGATCAACATGTGAAGTTGTGAGACTCAGATCCGTGGAGGTCAAGATCTACTGGTTCAAAACGATCAGTGAGGTGGTCACGGTTCAAGTGGGCCGCTGGGCTTTTCGTTCATTCGCTTTGAGATTCTCGGAATGTATTCGGGTATTGTGAAGGATTGAGCCGTTACGTAGTGAGATAAGTAAAACAAATGGGGAGTTCAAGAAGGTATGTAAAGCCCCACTATGCAAAACGAAATTTTAAGGCAACCACTAACCCAACTGATCTCCGCTGGGATAGTTTCGGGGCGGGTCCCAACATGGCCTAGAACCATGTACTGCATAGAAGGCTTACCAGTTCCAGTGATCCAACCATTGACGAAGCAACTCGATTGGTGGTTGTGCGCCGTACACCTCCCGAACAGGCATATTCAAGTCATCCACGAAAACGATCAGCTTCTTTCCCATCGGAGGACCAAATACACCTTTGCGCCGTCGATCCAGTTTAGACATGATAATATTCTGAGTCTGGTTTGCACTAGTTTGTGCTGAGAAGTTCAGGTTGTTCGGTCTGTAAATGTCTTTTGGCAGTTTGTTCAACAGAAAGTCCTGAAGTGGAAAGCATCGAAAAGTCGTCATATCATCATGGCATACCAAGATGCCTTTCTCTCACACTCATATACAGCTACCTGAATGTCGGATCAGCTCGATTTACTAGCCGTGAGATCTTGAGGCCCTCATATGAAAAAATTCGGTACCGGCGCTCCTGGGACCGTCTAAAATCAGGATTAAACTTTTTTTCTGGCATTTGAAGCATCCAACTTATCGACTGAAGGCAAAAGGATGACAAAATCAGAAAACATTGTGTACACGTATCCCACCCAATGGAACTGCTTAGATGATTGTGTCATCCTTTTGGCTTCAATTCTGTTGGACCATGCAGGATTCAGTGTCACTGCTGGCATTCGTTGTAACCTAAAATCTGACACGTACCATGATATAGCACGACTTCCCGGTTCCGGTCGGTCCGACAAATAAGGCTGGCTTCCCGTTAATCAGAAAGAGTTCTAGAAGTCGGCAGCAACGAACCGTTTCCACTGTGGGTACGATAATCTCGTGGAATGTCGCATCTTTCGGGATTGGTGGTGCATGTCTGATGGTGTCCTTCCACAGTTCCCATTTGACAGGGCCCTGATTCGGAGAAGAAAAGGATGAAGTCATTGTGAAAATATTGAGTAAATCCTATGCAGGACCGTTGTACAAACCTCTAGGTAGAACGCACGAAGTCACGCTTTTCTGCCGTACGTCAGACCACCTGTCCCCTGCACCAAATAACTCAGTGCTCAATAGTAAGGAATGATTGACCGAGAGGGACGCTATGAACTAATGCGTACGTTCACTACTGCACGGAAATCTGGGATGTGTGTAGTGTTTTTGATTGGAATGTGTAGCCACCTGTGAACTAAAAATTCCAGACAGAACAGTACTAACAACGTTATTGAAAACTCTCCAATGCTCACTACCACTTTTGTCCTTCTTTGGAGCTCATCAGTCAGGCGTCGCCTCAGAGTTTCCGTCGACCCTATGTTCCCTTTGAACCCAAATTGTACGCGATTCGTGAACTACACCTATTTGTAAACGAATTTGCTTTTGATGCGAGAGTGAACTGAATCCCACCTGAATTTCTTCTTTATGAGCAGCCTTCGCGCAGAAGTCAAAGAACACCATAAACGAAGGATGCCGGTAAAATTGGATCAGGCCATGGAATTAGTGCAAAAATGAGTGTGTTGTGTGGTATTTATGGTTGTTTATAGATGCTAACAATCAAGTCGTATTCCGTAACATATGTTAGACTCCAAAGTCTGCTTGTTTCGACGACTGGAAGTGTCGTTCGTAGGGGATTCGGATTGTTTTACCTTAATGGCAGTAATAATAATAATGACACTAAGAATGAAAACCGTCCAGCTGTAATACCTTCTCAGTGCCTGGCTGCCATACCAACCGAAGCAAGCATGAGGAATGAGATACTGCCAGGTTACCCAGGGCTGGGCAAGAGCGACCAAGATGTAGAGATTGGGTTCGAACCATGGCCCTTCCAGGCAGTAGGTTCACGCAGTAACCAATGAGCTATTTCGAGCTTTCTTAAACTACGCTTTCACCAATACGCCAATACCATACAATAAAAGTGAAAAGATCAATAATGACACACCAAGTCCTTTTGATCTGACGGCAATTGCAAAAGGTAGGTAGGTTCGACTTAGTCTAGCGGACAGACACCATAAAGGTATCAGGAAGGTCACATTCCTGAAAGCAACAACTGAATACCCGAAATCTACCGAGACTCTCAGCTCTGCTAGGTGTTGACCAGACAGACAACGCCCCCTCAATATGCGGCGCGTCACAGCCCCGTACCAAGCCAGACGCATCGTCAGTACTGGACAAAGTTCGGACAGTGTCCCTCCAATAAATAGCTTGAGACTGCTGTACATTGGCATTCGCACGCACTCACGCTCTCGCACTCGCTTGTTCGGAATGAAGCTGTTGTGCTGCCCTCTGTGAGCCTTTTTTCTCCGGCATTAGACACTGGAGCGGGTCAGCAGCAGATACCACAGATTGGCGAATCAGCAGACATAACAAAAGGTAACAATAAAATGCGTAAAAGTGCACACAGCCTCACAAAGTTTACCATAAGTTGCATAACAGCGTGCAGATGTGTGCATTGTTGTTGCATACGGTCTTTCTCATCGGATCTCCCTGGTTTCTCATATAATCCAAAGTTGGAAATCAAGAAACCTCACATTATGTTTGTAGTGCTAGGGAACGGTCCCATTAATCCTTCAACGAACCCAGAAATTTTAAGCTTTATTACCGTCTTGAAGTCTACTCATTTCAGCAGCAGTTTGAAAATCTTTTTTAGTCTTTGGTGAGGCAATAGGGTTCATGCATATCCTGTTAGACAGCACACTACCGAAATGGTGAGTGCCGGTCCAGAACAAAGGGCCCAGTAAAGCCTAAGTTAGTGGTATCCCATTTTCTGCTGAATTCAGCGAGTGGTTGAAACATAGTAGTTAAAACACAAATTCACTGACCCGAAGGTTTCAAGGTTTGAACCCGACCTCTGTATCTCGGCTGTTCCTCTCCAGGCTTGGAGAATCAGGCAGTATCTCAGCCCTCGTGCTTCCTTCGGGTGGCATGGCAGCTACGCATCGAAATGGTGTTACAGCTGAACAATTCTCTTTTTACTGAATGCAGTGGACCACTAGGACACAACGAGGTTAACCACCCATGACCTTTTAGGGGGTGGAATGGCACTATTGTAATGGCCGCTTACATAACCTCAGACCTCAGTTCATATCAGGCAGTCAGACAAAGAAATACGTGTGTTTTGCAATATTGATCCATGTGTTTTCATTCATTTTAGTCTTTTTCCGATAAGAAACCTAAACTTCAGCGTTTCTTTTATTTCTGTGATCCGTTCGAACTCAAAGAAAGGGACGTTGGTAACACAGTAGTATTTTTAACCTCAGTATGAAGTTTGTGTGATGAGCTGAGGCCATTTAAAAGAAACGCTCGTGACGGAAAAGGGTCAAAATGATAGGCGGACCTTTAACATTGTCGGATCAGCAAACATTAGTGTCAGTCAACATTTACATCATTTACATACCCATGCGGTTTTCACGGGAGACTCACCTGAAACTAATCTGAATCTCTTGTTTATGATGTTCTTCAATCGAACGTGCTGCACAAAGGCTGACTCATGTTTCAATTGACACGATATTCAAGATTTCGTAGCATACAATCCTGAAGAAAACGACTCCTGGGATTGCAGAAAACTCTTCGACAGCCCACCAACCGTTTCGCCTTTTTGGGTTGGGCTCACCAGGTGAGCATAGCTTCCTTATGATCTACTTGAACCCAAGTTGTACGAACCTCCAAAAATACACTAATTTTCACACCACGTTGGTTTTTTCACGGAACACCCAACTGAATTGCGTGGGAACCAAATCGCTAAGCAAAGAGTGTATATTGCTAATTTCGTGCAATTTGGATTCAACATAGGGATGACGCAAACTAGGGCACTGCGCCTGTAGCTACCCCGTCACCCAAGCGCTTGACTGTTCAGCTCACATTCGCCTACTGGTTCACGAGACTTGTCTTTTTTCATGCTCACAACCACGTCACATTAAGATGACCCACCAGACGTCGATTGTCCACAACGTCTAGAGAGCGTAGCAACAACTCATGTGCTGACACGCCCACGTATAACGAACGGACCCTACATATAGGGAAACCGAACACAGTCAGCACACAGACTCGCGCGCACGCAGGGAGCAGAAGTCAACCGCTCTCCACAAGTCCACGGACAACTATGGGACACGTGTAGCAGCCATACTGCGGAGAAAAACACATTCCCGCCGTTCGGACTTTCACCAAGGAACTCTCACGGACGATAAGTTCCTTTTTTTGACTTGCTCCCATTTATATACGTGTTGCAACCCACCACTGTCAACCATGCATAGTGCATACACCTTCTGATTTGTGTTATGGCCATCATCAACAATGCACTAACACGCCTACCTGATGAAGGACGAAATCGGACGTAGGCTGTCCGGGAGTTTTTAGCAACTTGTTGGTTATTCTCCGGCATCTAGACAGAGGTGACGGATGGTTGCACACCGTCTGGTTGTCTCCGTGCTGGATTGTGTCGGACAAGAAGCTACCAAGAAGAGTGAAACCGGTCGTGGGCTGTCAGAGAGTTTTCAGCAACCTTGTGAGTAGTTTCCTTCATGAAGAAGTTATCAAGTTTCAAATCGTAGTACTTTTTATCAAGAGTAACGAAATCATCCCATTGCCCTTGGTTTGACGAAACACTAGATATTTCACGTAGATATTTCATGATCAGAAGGCTTAACTGAATCACAGTGAACGTATACTTGGATACCGTCCCAATTGGCAAGACTGAATTGCAAAACGCGACCTTTGTTTCAGTTTATAGCGTATTACAATATCAAATCCACCGGAAGAAGACACTGATGAAATGCAAACTAGAAAGTATGAACTTTGAAGTATAAAACGATTTCAGTATTTCTTGGAATACTCTCAAACGAGACGGCAGATTAGCACTCCGTTTACTCTTTCTGAATAGGATGAGAATCAATAAGTTACAAAAATGACTTCATGTCACACAGCATGAGATCAAATTCAACTGTACGGCAAAGTCGTTATGACACGTGCAAGTCAGAAGAGACTGTTTACAAAGCCAACGCGGTTTTAGCGGACTCCGAGAGTACCCAGTCCTTGAGTAACGCACTGGTTTTCGTGAAAACCTTTGGAAACACTCGTTAAGCCGACGTTTTTACTCCTGACGAGTTAGTTCAAGACAAGTCTCTACTAAAGTAACTTAACTTGGTCGGTCACAAATCACATACTAATAATGGTTACGGTGTTTCAAATGCAATCTACCAAAGTGCATTACCGTTCTATTTTTGCTTCAAGAAATATTCAGTTTGTAGTAGAAAAATAGTAGTTTGGTGAGAACCAGATGGTGAAATTTTCGTTTAGCAACTTACCTGATCCTCACCGTCATCAGTGGATGGGGGCTGTATAAAGAATGAAACGAAAAGTTCCACAATAAAGGTAATGGTATGTTAAAACGACTAAAAAGTTATATTTGACGTCAGTCAAGCCGAGTGGTTAGAGTAATGATGACCTTAGCAATGTGAGGACATTCGCTTACCACTACTGAGGTCAACAATGAGTTCAGTGCTTCTGAACCGTACGTAGAACACCACAAAAGGACAAAAAGTGAAATGAAATGAATTCTGAATTTTCTGTACTTCTTTGACACCATGTGAATAGTGTCGTGTACACGGATGCCATCAACATTAGCCTACAATGAAGAATTGGTGCCAAACCGCGCACCAGTTAACCACAACTATACATCTTTTGTGGCGCCCTGTTGATGCTCTTGGTTAACCGGATTTCGGCGCCGCGACAGAGAAGATCATTAATACCCCGACTCCAACCGGAGACCTACCGCTGCACTCTGATCGGCGTAAACCTACGACACTGTCTAATCCGGATAGTCCGGACGGTTAGATTCACCAGTTAGGTGGTTTTCAATTGCTTTGAGTTCGTTTAGTCTGTGAAATAACACTTGGGAGACCCTGGTTCAATCCCCCACGGGTGTTCTGAGACCAGCTTCTTGAAACGTTACACACCTGTTAGTTCACCGATAAAGATGCAGAATATAACAAAGGTTAAACAAGGGAGGAAAAACTTATGCGGTTTGGAGAACAGCAATGTACACATATGGCCGTCCCCCCACCTCATGAATTGGGACGAATGTGCACAAGCTAAGTCATTCCCATACCATGCTGCAGTCCCCAAGGTCTGCTTTCTCTTCGGTGGAATACCGTTAGTATTGCTTGATCTATCGAAGATTCTGACTAACAAGGTAACTCAACCATAGGGTAGAAACGGGGTAACAACTGAAATCCAGCCCCCGGTAATCTTTAGAAATGAGCAGTATCTTAGTGTTGAGGATGTGTTCAATTTAGTCAGTACTGTTGCATCAGACTGCTTCATGCTCTAAGCTGAGAGAAATCAACACGGTATCGGGATTCTGAACACAGGGAAACGGATGAGCATATCTTAGAAAGACAACTGCAACCGAATAGTGAGAGGCAGAGATCGTCCAAGGATAACCACAGACCGGTCGGAACTAGCCCTATTTTGAGCCAGTATTTCATCCATTCTAGTATTCCTGGTACGGTATGTGCGTCTTTGTTGCTTTCACACTTATTTTCGATACCATGGACACTGACAATTTGACCTGCAGCTTTCCACGTTCCACTAGACTTCCAAAATGTGTCACATTCAAATGTACGGAGTGACCAACCTGGGCAGTAAAGTCGATAATGTGGTCAGTACTTGAATGTACCAGAATTAACTTCCGATCGTTATCTAAAATAGTTTCGCTTTGTCGACCTGTGGTTTCCACGTGTGGTTAAGGTACACTGTACAAAGAATCGGCGGAGTTCTTGCGAGAAACCAAGATGAAACGCGGAAAAGTTAGGAGGTTAAGCAGATGCCGCACTCTGCTCGTCCAGTGAGTGGGGAGTAAGTCAACTCTGGTTTGATCACTCCTCATGAACAAAGTCACGTGCATCTAACCAAATACACTCATTTGAGTAGTGCATTACAAATCACACGCATCTACTACATTAAAAAAACCATACGTTGACCGGAACAGAATGTAACCATATGCAAAGTTGAACGTAGGAGGTTATTTCTAGTCGCCATGACGTTTGGTTAGATTGTTATGTACATGTGAAATGAATGTCAATCAATCTCACCACGTTAGAAATTCTATAACAGAGTGCAACCGAGCGCAAGAAACTCCGCAAAAAAAACAACCAAAATACTGCAGTTATCAAGAGTAACTACATACAGAAAGATTGAAATATAGGCAAAGAAAATGAGAAAAAACGTTGTCCATGAATTACTTACCGGTGCACCGGCTTTGGGGATCTGGAGGCGAAATGAGAATAACGGTTGCCTGAGTTAATTGCTTTAGCGTACACATGGGAACGAGATTCGACGTGACTCTATCGAACTTCCAGATTCGGGTATACAGGTGACCTCTCGTGAGGGACAACCTGAATAGTCTAGCTGAGAGTGTTTTCTTCGGTGGAGTGGCCTTCAAGGAACCAAGTAAGTATCGTATCTCCTCGGGATTAAACTCTTCAGTGGAGGCTCGTGAGCTGAGTTATCTTCTACTAGGATTTGAGATATATCAGTAAAACCCCATTGGATTTCTAGACATAACACACTACTCATAAGGTTGCTGAGAAACTCTCTGACACACATAAATCGATGTTGCTAAATGCTAAACACAGCAAAATCGTGACGATGTACCAATGAGACAGTTTATAAGAAAGAAAAGAAACTTAGATTATTGGGTATGCTTGTTCACGTGCGTTTACTCAACTCAGTATTACGATACTACTTAGTGAGGAACAGATGTGGTCATTGGTTTGTTCGCTAAGCTGTGCAATTTGATTGATTGCAATCGTTTGATCACCAAGCGGTGTGACATCATTAGTGCGTTGCTAGGGAGCACGGTGGTGCATAGCGATGGATTGGTGGTTGTGCGTTTGCTAAGTACGAGACACTACCAGCTTTCAGATGAACCGCATTATCGGGGTAACTTTTGTCAGATATTCCCGTGCCAGAGTTGGATGGAGTTAGGTTTGAAAGCGAAAACATCAGTAAGCACGTACACTAGGGAAAATGGACCGATGTAGCTCAGTTTATGGGCCAACCAGGATCAATCGTTTGCCGATGTCCGTCATTATATCTAATGATTTGGGTCATTCACTGATGAACAAGTCCCTACCAATTAATTTGAATTATTGGCGGCCCAAAGCGCACGATCCGATCGCCTTTTATCATGCGTTTTGTCAGTTGCATTGCTCTAATTCATGTATCCATTCCTCTGGGGCAGTTGGTGATGAAAATTTTTAAAACTTCTTCACTGAGTTGGGATGCGCACTGATGATCCAAATTTCGGTACAATTCCACAGGAGCAATGTCTAGTGTGTAGAACAACAAAGTGAGACCGCCGGTCTAGCTTTTTCGCACCCTAGGCGACGATATTGACTTCAGGGAACCCCGATCGGAATTTATTGGTTTTCATACGGAGCAGCAACTCTGACCGGGGAATCTTTTGTGGAGTGCACAGTCCTTGGTTTCTACTTCATGTGCACTTCTTCGGATGGGTGTTTACTGTATACGTGGATGCCAGTTTGGAAGACGTACTGGGTAAAAGAGACCGAGGAAATTGAACGCTCCACGTACTCATGAACACAACTTTTGTTAATCTAGAGTAGTTTATCCCGTGTACTATGTATGACGGCCACCATGAATTTTTTTTCACGGGCTTCCTCTCCGCTTTGAACATTGTGTTGCGGACAGTTCTATGACAACGACGAACTCCAAGAGTTTGACACTAAACTAAGAAAGACACGTAGGCTTCCTCAACTATTCCTCTTAATGGTACACAAGTTGGAGAAACAAGACAATGAATTTAGTGAATATACACTCGTTTGCAAACGAATTTGGTTTTGCGAGAGAATCACCTGGAACCCAGCTGAATCTCTCGTTTGTGATGTTTCCAGACAACTAAATGTGTAGCACCAGGCCGCCTCGTGTTTCAGTCGCTACGATATTTGAGATATCGTGATACATATATATTCGTAATCCGCTACTCACAAAGTTGCTGAAAATCTGTCGACAGCCCACGACCGGTTTCACCCTTCTTGGGGCTCATCAGGTAGGTGCAGTCCCCGAGTTTCCATCAACCTTATGTTCTACTTGAAACCAAATTGCACGCAATTAGCGAAATACGCTCATTTGCAAACTAATTTGGTTTGGGCGAAACCGGTTGTGGGCTGTAGACGAATTTTCAGCAACCGTATGAGTAGTGCATTACGAAGACTTTGAATTCATCTAGTGAATTGATTCTGCAATGGGGCGATTAACCGAAGCGTTAGAAGCGAACTAGAACATTCATGCCAATAATGCCAGTATGCACGGGGAATTCCCTATATTCAGAGTGAGGACAGGAGCTTGAATTAATTGCATAACCTCGTTATTGAGTAATGGGGAAATCATCAATACTTGAAGCAACAAAAGCTTATCAGAGTCGGTCTCACGGACGAATCGTCTTCAACAGTCCTATTCCACAGATAAATCCGATCATGGAACCGGTTTGTCTTCAAAACTACCAAACTAGAAGACTCACATCAATCACAAGGCGATAATCATACACAGATCGTTTGATTGGGAATGGTTTGCCATAATCTTGCAACGGTGGCGGTACCAGTTCCAACAGGGCGAGTCGTTGTCTCGTCTCTTCCATCATGCCGCCATTCATCAGTTCACGAGTCAGCTTGTCAAAGTACTTTCGACCATTTTCATCCGTAGTGGCCCCGATGGACCATACGTAGGAGAATAGGAAGATACACTGAAAATAGTGAAGATCGATCGGGATTAGTTTTCGTGCTTGAATCGAAAGACAAGAGTAGTTTACACGAAAATATTTTCCTATGCCCTAAACAATGAAACAATCAATAACAAGTTGACTGACTTTGTTTGGAGGCCACGTATACTGTGTAAGTTAACGTATATCAGCTACCTCGCTGTTCGGTGGCCAGCCGTCCCTAATAACCGAACAGCATATCATTTGCACGGGTGTCACGTGCATGACATGGGCCAAACGAAGGCATGCCCTGATTGGTCAGAGTGCCAGCCAATCCGAGTCAAGCATCTGTGACTCGACGCTTCTCGCCCCCTCACGGAGATTCTGGGACGACCTTGTGGAACACTGTCTCCATAAGGAGCTGTGTATAGCTACCGTGCCTTTTGATACATCATAGTGGGCGGAGCAGGAAGCCAAGGGACCGATACAGAGTTGCACTACCATTCAGCAAATCACAACACTTGCCCACAACGGCTAACCGCAACCCAAAGGCGATTGGAATTATTCGATGAACCAAGAAAGCATTATGAAAACGACACCTCAATATTTCCAAAAAATAGATATAACGTTTGTGCAGTTTGCATCGAGTGTTTGCGTGCATGGAATGTTTATCCACCAGATTAGCCATAGTTGACTTTCAGCTAGACATTGTGTCTAGCTTCCCAAAACTTAACCTCTGAGTTCGCCATCTACGGTCATCGGAGTTTTTCACTGACGAACTTGTCACATCTGGAGGCTGCTCAAATCCAGTGTGATATTGGCCCTTCCCTTGCATAACATAGACGATGAAATGAAGACAGCGTGAAGCAAAGACGGTGATTCCTGAAGCAAATAATGCCCACCAAAATCGCTTGTTTCGTTTACTATTGGGTGGGGGCGGATCTGACCGGAGAAACCTCCGGTTATTCAGGGCATTCTAACGTAAAAGTGACTTGGTCTGCTACGGGAAAACGCATGTTGCGAGGTTGCTTTATTGGAGATAATACAGCATTCGCAAATATCTAAGTAGATGTTTGGGTGCTTATGAAAAATAACTAGCAAAGGCTGTTGGACGTTTGATTTCACCCTATTTAACGTTTGACCACAAACTGCATTCCAGCGCGGGTATCTCCAAATCCACATGACTGCAGGCCAAAGTACTTTGCAGATTGGTAGGGCAGTCACGGATGAGCCTCTACGTTCCCGATCTCGACTAAGCATCGCAAGTCCGACAACCGTCTGGTGTTGTGATTAATTCACTGAGCAGCCATGGTTTACGCAACCCAAGCAAGCACTTCACTCTGCGCGCCCTTGAGCAGCCCGAACACCCTAGGCATAGGTGACAGGCGTTGCGGTACACACGCCGAGACTCGATGTTCCATCCACGTTCTCAAGAATCTACAAACGAGGTCAGCTAATTGCATTAAGCCCACTGTAACAAGGCTTGTGAAGGTCTGATCCAGCTGCAGTCTGGATGACATAACAGCTGCGCCCAAGGCCTGGGAAGCTGGAACAGTAATCGATCCACTGCGTTGATTAGACATGGGACAAGTGACACGGGCGATGAGAGTATCTTAAATAACTGGATGCGGGTATATCAAAGCAACTGAACGCGGTGATGGTCGTAGTTCACAGAGCATACAGCATTGGGAAAGGAAGAGTCTTTTGCCTTCCAAAACGAACACATCCAATAGGATTCTGGTCTCTTTTCAGCAGTGATCAAGTGAGTCCAGATAGCAATACCGTATGATAAGGCAGGTATGGGTAGCACGGTTACCATACCATGAGGCTACGCGAACGTTTAAAACAACTACTGATGAGATGTGATCAGTAATGGGCAGACACTTTCAAGAAGTTGTGCTAATATTTGACGCAGACAGTGAATGGGTTATTTTCGTGTGACCTTCCCCAATGTAGTAGATTAGAAATTGGAAACAAATGTGCGGAAAACATCCAAACAATGTAACTCCTAACAAGCAACAGGTATAAGATAAGATCAAAATAAGAGAAGAGAAGATAGTCGCTCTGCTGTAACACCCTTTTGGTGCCTAACTGCCATGCCACCCGAAGGCGAGGGCTGGGCTGGGATTCTGCCAGGTTGCCCAAGCCTGGACAGGGGAATTCGAGAGGCACAGGTCGGGTTCAAACCACGAACCTTCCGGTCAGTAAATTCGCGCTCTAACCACTTGAACTTTCTCGTCCACCAACAGGTAAGTCCATAACCCGTTGAGACGAATCGAACCAATGCCGTCTGGTTTCCACAGGATGAGGTTCTATCACAATGGACCAGTAATGAAGCAGCAGTAATGGATGGGGAAAACCTCAGGGGTTATAACCAAACACCGTGATTGAGGGTGAGAATATCATCCAGATGATTTTGGAAGAAATGATGGCTAGTTGCTTCAGATGTATGTTTTCCTGCTACCAGAATACTGTAGGACATTCCGAATACACACACCACTTAGAGTATACAACTACCAGCATCCCACGGAATAGTTTTCGTGACGAGGGTCTAAAGGAAGTGTTCAGGAGGAGATAGGATGACATGATGGTCCAGTTCACTTGAATGACCGCCTGATGTGGACGATGAGATGCGTGGATTATCGTATTCACAATGAAATTAAGCAGCTCGGTGGTGCTCGTATGCGATTACTGAATGTACCAATTGATTGACTACCAGTTTACTTGTTGACTGTAGAATTCCTGATAGCCGGACATTGTTTTAACAAACTGTTCATGTTCAACCAGGGTGTTTTCATCTTGAGTGACTATAGAATGTACAATTTCTCTCTGAAATCGCCTTTGAGGGAAGTGAAAACTTCAGCGACATGGCATCCAGGGAGCAAGCTCCTTCTACTGAATTTACGGTCAATATCGATTCACTAAGATAACCGCACTCAACATGAATGACGCAGTGTTCACGTTCTTGATTGTTAATCACTAATTCGGTGTTCTCCAGATAACTGTTCAGCTGTAACAGCCTTTCGGTGCGTAGCTGCTATGCCACCTGAAGAAAGCTCGAGGGATGGGATAGTTCCAGGTTACCCAGGCCTAGACAAGGGAAGTCGAGATGAAGAGGTCGGATTTGAACTACGGAACTTCCGTCCAGTAAACTCGCGCGCTAACCAATTGTGCCGTCTCACCTCGTGCTCCAGAAAGAAGCAAAATATTGATTAAATTGAATCGATTTTGGCACACTGTTTCCATTCTAATTACCATTGGCGGATAGATAATCCGCTGACATCTACGGATCTCTCGACCTGGGCACCGAATACTTAGGGACAGACATCCTGGATACTAACTCTGGTGAAACGGCTCGTGAGCGATGGCTGCATTTCGAATAGTTCGGTGCCATCAACCTTGGCTACGGCTGTGACTTAACCAACTTCGTTTTGCGACAACTACAGACGCATCGACGTGTTATCACCCCCTTAACCAGCATGGTGGGCGACACTATCGAGCGTTAATCGGGTTATCTAAGCCAGCGGTCCAGGTAATGCGGGGTAGCAACAGGCCTTGTAACGACAGTCTTCATGCAGTTCGCTGACCCCATTTATCATAAGAACGTAAGCGCAACACTGTGGTCCGACAATGCGATTACTCTGGAAGCTTGTCACCGGAGCCGCGCACCGTAATGTCGAATGAAAAAGACAGGCCCTTTCCTAACTAACCGCACATCAGCTCTTCCCCGTTAGGGCAGATTGTGTGCCCCCTAATTCTCACGCCTGAACGGACATGTTCGCACCTGAAAGATGCGACTGACACCGATGAGCGACTGCTCTGGTTGTTTCGATCGATCGCTCAAATGTGGACACTTTCCTCTGCTCAGCCGTGTTAAGTCCGGTGTGGCCTGCATGCGCAGGTAGGGCAATGGTGACACGTTCGCCTTCTATGTCCGGGGCCAAGACATCGTTGCTACCAGGGCCTCTACTTCGGTGCTCCCACCCCTCGGTGAGAACCTACCAGAATAGTTACGCTAACTCTGGTGGGGTGGATGACCACTAAAACAAGCAGATGAGTGACTTGTCTACCGGATTTACCATGCCCTGGATGCGGCCTGGTTACTAGGCCAGCGCCACCAACAGAAGATACTATCTCACAGGCGTTGACCGCCGTCGGTGTCTCTGTGACACATGCGCAGATGTGCATCAGCGCCTTGACCTAACAATGGGAGCCACGACACTTCCCTTAAAAATTCGTAACATTTGATTGTTACCCCTTGCGGCCTACAGGTGCAAAAATGCGGTACTGGGACACGTGTCTACCGCAAAGCACCAGCAACCAGCTCGAAAGTATCATGTTCAATGCATCAAGACTACACCGTGTTGGGCAGACCATATCGAGGTTTGCCATAAAAGAATTTCGGTTGAAATTAGCAGACTGCAATCTTTCGACTTAGTTATTCGTTGATTTTCAGCGAGTTGAAAACTACTCTTGCGGTTAGGAAAATGATGGAAAATTACCGATAGGAAGATCTTGACAGTGTGCGTCGCTAACCAGGCTTAGGGCCCAAAACGAATCAAAATGCAGTAGATGAAACTGCAGTAGATCGGCGGCAGTGGCGACAGCATGCATTTTACTGCATCAGAGGTTTTGAGTGCTTTGGAAGCGTAAACTGTCCTCACCTAGAATGCCCTATTCTTTGGCCTTCGTATGATACAAACGCGGAGAGCAGCTGAGGCGCAAGTGCTGTTATATCGTTCGAAGTAGACCGCGGCATCGCGAGACGTGGTATGTTGCTAGCGCTCTGTTCTGAACTACCATAAGACTGTCTCCCGGTTCCAACCCACATAATGCTCGGTACTGGACAATACAGCTTGCCGAAGCGAAACCGGAAACCAGTAGTATGAATGCAAGTTCCATTGTCCTTAGGCTATAAAGTCTGGTTGAAAAGTACAGAGTAAGTGTATGTTTTTATGAGTAAAAAGCTGCGCAGAAATGCGCAGTCAGTCTTCGCTAAACTGCTCTCAGAGAACGTAAAAATTCCTCACCTAGTGGATTAAGATATTTGGAACTTCCCAAAAGTTTTGCCACCTGAAATGACCGCAGTCGATCGAACTGAACTGGTGAATTTTGCTGCCGTCTCAATTAGAGAGCGGTCGGTTCAGCCCACCAGCAGGGATGGCCGCAGCTGCTCCAGATCCTGGTTAAGTTCAGACCACTAATCGGAGAAGCTGTGACAACAGGGTTCATGTCCGACAGTGAGGATGGCCGTAATTTACTATAAGTCTCATCAGTTTCGGGTATGAGCCCAATAGGAAGTAGGTCGGATGACTCGATGAGGAAGTACACAGTACCCTAAATATGTTGCTAAAAAATACACAGCCTACCGGACACTCGTATGCAAATGTCGGTTGATGGCACGTTCTTGTGGCGAGTGGAAACCATACCTCGTCACATGCTGCATTACAGGACTATCGTAATTGATCCTGTTGGACGACCTTGCCTCAGGAACATTTTAAACTGAGGGGTTCTCCTCCCCGCTCCACCTCCCCAGACTTCGTGTCAAATCGGTCGTCCATGGGGTATGGTCGGCTGGTGAGATCGGATATCCCAGACGCAAAAGTACAGTGCACGCTGATGTGTACACGTGACTGGAACGTCTAACGTTTTCAGGCACTGCCACATCGCAAGTGATTTTGAAAAGCAACCATTCAATTGTTCGGGGGCCAGCCGTCCCTAATAACCGAACATCACATCATTGGGTCGGACGTGTAACGTGTAGGACACTGACCAAACGAAGTCATGCCCTGATTGGTCAGAATGCCAGCCAATCCAGACCGACCATCCTTGACTGGACGCTTCTCGCCCCCTCACGATGCTTCCATCACGACCTTGTGGAACACTCTGTGACTGCCCTATAGATACAGTTGTACTAATCTTCCTTTGTCTCCATAAAGAGCTGTGTAGAGCTGCCGTGCCTTTTGATATACCATAGTGGGTGGAGCAGGAAGCCAAGGGATCGATACAGAGTTGCACGACCGTCCATCAAGACACAATATCAATCCAAAACGACTTGGATGGGCATGACGTATGATAAAAAACAGTCCTTCTCGACTTACTTACTTACTTAAAATGACCTCGGTTGTCTCCTACATGTGAAGCTGACTTACCTCCACCACGCTGTTTGCCACCAATAGATCGAACTGTTCCAACACATTTGCATCCTTAAACTCTGACATGTGACAGTCAATCAAATTCATCAACGATTTGACCAAGTTGATATCACCCGTTGGTGAGAGTTCCTACACGGAAATGGATGCGAGAGAAAATGCGATGAGATGAGTTCGGAATCCACACAAGTAACTGACATACAAACGGAAGTTTGAGTACAACTTATCCAACCCTAGACCAATGTTAGACTACGCTAAATTCCGAATCAACTCACCTTGCCACCGCCCTTACGAACCATAGCAATTCCGGCATCCACAAATCGTTCGAACATATCCTCCAAAACTTGTTTTTGTGGATTCTGGATCCCAGGAGGAAGTTTGTTCAGCCAACTGCGGAACAGCGGCCGCCAACCGAGACTAGCCGGTTCCATGTAGATCATCCCGCAACGCGAGACGGTTGCTGGTGAGGCTGCTTCCAGATCCATTGGTTCAAAAATCAAATTGGTGGTTGGAGCGAGCTGAATAATTTCACCTGACATGAGACATAGTTTCTTGTTATCATCCAACACTGTGTTCATGTTTTCAATCCAGACAGCGTCCACCGGACCGTCAAAGATGAGCCACTTTCGATCCGGTGTGGTTGATGTGGCGAAGGCCCGGTATGACACGGCAAGGATACCGTCTGACCATTCGTGAGAAACCGGATCAAACTGGCCATAAAGCTGTCCCATTGTGATTGCTTTCGGGTTAATCACAGTGTACTGAACTTTGTTTTCCTCCATCAAGCCCTGTAAGTATGAGAGTCAGTAGGAAAGAGGTGAATAACTGGACAAAATACTTTTTGCTGGAAATTAAATCATTTTTCCGCACCGGTTTTTTTGTGTTACTGAAGGGTAGTTGTGTGCAACAAACACCATTCATGTATGACCTTAAACTGTCGCGATTGGGGCTTGGGGGTTCATTTAGCTGAATGTTTTAAACTTTCGTTGCCAGTGCATCAAGATGTTGCAGAGTCATGACGCCAAATCGTTGATTACTTAGCTAAGTTGTATTCACAGTCTAAGGACCCAAACATAACGACAGAACTCTCAATTGGGAGATGACTGGGGAATGCCTACGAGGTACTTTCCAGGCTTGCAAGACCTGACGCTATAAACAGGCTATAAACAGTTGCTGCGAGTAACATTGTGTGAAAATGAAAGCTGATAGCTGTGTGTATTACGCCGCCATTAAATCATCGATGACTGGAAGACGTTCAACATAGTTACGCCACAACAGGGGGAGAGTATTCACCCAGATAAAGATAAGCCAGACTGTGACAAAAGACAACAACCAATAGGAATGACCGGCCTAGTGACCAATCGCAGTCGGAGGACAGGTCACACACGCACCACCGCCTGACGCACAAGCAATGGCCAACTGGTGCGCTCCACTCCGCCCATCTGACAACGCACTGATGTCACCTTGTTTGGTGATGAAGCCTTCGCAATTGGATTGCTCAGTTCAGCGAACAAACCAATGATCATGGATAGGTGGATATTGAACCCATTCTAGGTTCAGGGTAACTTGAATGTTACGTCGGAAACAAGGAGCCTTATACAGGTACATATATAGTCATCATCCGTATAAAGGCCACCATTTTAACGGCTCAAACCGGGGTGGATAAGTGTTAGGTCACTAGGGTAGCCGAATATTCCAACTGTTTTATTCGTTTCACTAATCGCACTCTATAGAGGAAAAGGTCGGTAGCTCAGGTAGCGTAGATAGTCGTTGGCTTGTTCGTTGAGCTGGCCAATTTGATTGCATTGCAATTTGATTGATGGCACAACCACTAACCCACCGCTACGCACAACTACGCTCCCCAATAACACACTGATGATGTCACCTTGATTGGTGATGAAACGTTTGCAACCAAACTGCCCAGCTCAGCGAACAAGCCAACGACCAATCGCACTCTCTTCTCAAGCGCACTCGTTGCCACCGAGCCCTAATAGAATGCAACTCGAAAGTCAGAGTACCTTGGCTTCCACATCACTCTAGCTGATGAGCAAGGTAGCCAGTGTCAGAACAGGTGGTATCAAATGGTATACACAAATGACCGCTCTTGAGGTTTACCCGGACAAGCTAGCATAACCTGGCTTCCAATCGCGATTCACAACGGAAAAGGTAGGGTTGTATCTGTGACCCGATATCTCATTCCAGTATACGGATGTGTAGTTGAGGGGTAGTGGATACAAGAGGCAGTGTTTTGACCTTGAATCTAAAAATGTAGCTCTATTCAGCATGCGCAAAACAGGTGCCCTCGGACTAAGGGAACGTGAGAAAACTGATATGTGAATAGCGCAGCTATCAGAAGGATGACGTCAAACTTGTTGATGTTGATTGACATGCTTCGTTTTGCTAAACGGAGGGCACCTACTTCAGGGCTGGCCAGCCATTTTCCGAGAGTGATGTTTATGGAGAGATTGCCATTTAGTACAATGAAAAAATCGGGGGTGACAAGTCCATTTTAATGAGCTGGTGGTGAAGAAATCTGTAGTGGCTGTATGTATGTGAGTTTTCCATCCGAGATTGCCAAAACTGAGGGTTAGGGGAGAAGTTTCCACCGTCTCGCTTGTGTACTCATAATTCTGTCCTCATCTTTCCCGAACCGTTACAACAACAGTTTCTGTGTAAACTGCTCCCCGAACCCGTAAAAGTAGTTACCTTATTACGTAGAAGCGATAACATATGGTTTCACACTACCTATGCCCCTATAAAGTGTCTGAACTGCTCGCACGAGTGGACAGCTTACATCGCGGTGGGCTTACCACAGTCAACACTGTTCTGGCTACATGAGTACTGAGACTAATCTGTTAGTTATCGATCGATTCTGGGAGCTAAAGCACACAGCATTTGAAATGTCATACCATAATCACGACTCTGTCCTTCGCTGATTTTTTCATCGGATCCCTTAGACAGTACTTCAAGGTTATAACTTTCTCCTGTCAATCTCCTGTCGAACAAAGGTTCCACCCACTCGATTTCAGGTCTCTTGGATTCGTTTTTACTACCAAATAACCGGAAATGATCGAAATTCTATCCCCATTTAAGGTAGTGCCATTAAACAAAATGGAAGAAAAGAAGAAAACCAAGCCACGACCCAAAATGCTATCGGGATTGCTCATGAGTAGTGATCACTCTTCTATTACCCACCTGTTCACATATTTCCGCCAATGCCAGTGCCAGCATTCGATAGGCACTGGTCTTGCCACCAAAAGGATCGCCGACAATCATGAATCCATGACGAACAATCATCATTTCATAGATCTGTTGTATTTTCTCCACGAAGAAATCGGTATTCTGCATGTTGGTCTTTTCACAATTATTCTTTATAGCGTTGTTTAAGATTTCATAGTCTGGTGAGGGTCGCTCAACCCCGGGGAACAAATCCGATGCGATCCCATTGAACAAAGGCAGATCATGGTTGAGAAACTTGGGCAAATTGACGTCAATGATGGATCGGAGCATGAGGACATCTTCATCCTCGTTAGGATATTTGAGCTAAAATGGGAAGAACACAGTTGTATCCGTTATAGTAAATGCTGATCCGAAGCTTCGCGACTTATGAGTAGGCAGTAGGTCAAGAAGTTTTTAGTGAAACGCAGAAAGATGCCTCGTGAAGGCATCACTTCCGCTAGATCAATGTGTGGACTATGTGCACTGGTACTCACCTTGAGGTTCCCGGCAGCTGTCAGCACAGATTTGACCGCACGCATACCATAATCATAATGGGCCTGGCTGGAGAGCTGCTCCGAGCACAGTCGATAAGTGGCCACAATTTTGACGGCCAGCGGACGAGCATTGACAAATCCACAAGAGTAAAGTGAAATCTCCGCAATCATTGCGTAATCCGGTACCATCATAGCGACTGCACGGAACAGTGCCTGTAGAAACGAATAGACAGCATAGAGTATGGTGTGATGATCACTAATTAAAGTGCTATTGCATGCAAACTGATCGTTCATCTTGAAATTCAGCATCAGAATTTTTTGTTACGGGAATTATTGTTCGCGTCGCAGTTACATAAAAAAAGCACAATCTTCACTAAGATGGAAATCAATCGGGCATGGGAGCAACATGCACTCATGCGTCCAAGACGTTGCCTTCAGTGCATGACTCATCTCCCGATCTCCCGAATGAAAGCCCACTCACACACACGCATTGACGCACCAATTATATCAGTCACCACCTCCAAAACATATCTGCCGCCCCACCTCCCCGAATCATTGGCGAACGGAACTGTGGCAGCTTTAACCACTGTACGACAGGCACGTGATTTTTCCAGCTGACCGTGACGAAGACACGGGAACAGTCTGACCCACGTCAAACCACTCAGTTATACAGCTCTTTTGCATTTTATCCGAGTAGGCCCCAGAGAATGTGTACACTACAACTCAGGTTGCATGACGTCTCTACTAATTTGCATCCATTGGGGCATCGAAAGCAACTGTTGCTTTTTTTAGTAGTCTACAAGTTTACTGAGTTCAGTAAGTTGTCATTCAATCTACGCGGGATTCAACTAGGAGCATGTATTTGTCCGTGTTGACAGCGTCAAACGACCGTTGCAATATCCGTATGATGGTCCGTTTAAAGTCATTTCTCGCAAGGACAAGTACTTTGTGATTGAGAGGAACGGAAAACCGGACTCCGTCAGTATCGACAGACTCAAAGTTGCATTCATCGATGACGAATCTCACTCAGATCCCCCTACTGTAGTCACTCCACCCACAAGTTCCCAGACCTCCAGTACAGCCATCCCAGGGAACCCCGAACATATAGCACGACGTATTGACGATCACCCGTTACCTATCCTGAAGCAAACACGTGTTGGTCGAACCTGCAAGACTCCTGTTCGCTTCGCAGACTACAATACAATTTCTTGGCGCGACTTCCCTGCTTTTTGCTGAGTTAGTGAAATTGCATCCGATTGAGCCGATTGCTCTTTGCTGAAGTCGTGAGATTGGATTATTGTGTTTGTGTGAACTGTTGAACGTCACAATAACTCCTTGTGACAATTTTCAGCTGTGATAACGGCCTACCGTGGAATTTACTTCTAAAACTAGAACTATCAGGAGAATATCCTTCTTACTCTGGATATACTCTTCACCGCTGAATACAATTACTGCACAACATTTCGTGTAGTGGAATTATTGGACCTCCAATTTAGTGAGTCTGTTCCGTTCACTTGTCCATTTCTTATTGCCATTTGTTATTTCTAAGCTGGTATTTTGGTTGTATATTCTATCGAACACGCATACATAGGTCCTTGTCCACTACACAACAACTGCTGACGGAATCGAGCCAAGAGGAATGGACTTTAACGAAGTTTCTGTAAACTGAGTTTACGTGACCCTTTGATGGAATGTCTGTTCACCCTTCCGTTTCTGAGAGGTAAGGGTGAAGCTAGTGGGTGGGTGGGAACAAAGTCAGCCTGGATGTTGCCGCTAGGATGATGGGGACTCGTTCTTTGTGAATAATATGAATTTTCCAGAACCGATCACAAGCGGTCACCACAAAGAGAGGTGTTCGTTGTGATGGAGTATGTCGTGTGGGGGCGATGGTGGTGGGCTCAGATGAAAGATATCCTTGGTTGGCTAGCATGTTGCTAGTCCACAAACCGAAGTACGAAGTAAGTTTAACGAAAATGCGAAGAGTACGCTTGCTAAAGAATGGCAAAACCAGTGCTGGGTTGTCAGTGGGCTATAAGTGATAAGTTGAGTTGAAAGACCTTCAGGTGGTTCTCTTAGGATGACGAGATACCTGACAGTTTGTTGACAGCGGCTGGTTATGATGTCAAAAAACAAACACTGAATAGAACGAAGTTTTGCGGAAGTCGTTTCGAAACGTTTGCAACTTGCATCCCATGTTGCGTTCATTAGAATCTAATTAACGCCTTTGTGATGGCTTCGGGTTCTGTGATCATCGCGCACAGTAAATCCCGTTCGGTAATTTACCGATTTCAACAGAACAGCGAGTAAACATGTTTTCTCGACTATAACTGAGCAAACTAAGGGGAATCACGAACCCAAAATGGGTATCAAACGAAAGTTTTCAATGAAAGAATGAAACTTGCCTTCAGATTGTCAGGTAATTCAGAACGTCCAGCGTAACCGGGATTCATGGTAATGAACACCGCACAGGTTGGATCCAGCTTGATATCCGTGCCTTCGAATACCAGGCGAGCTTGTTTCGCATTGATAGCTCGTTGAATCGTCAGAATTTGTTGGGCAACAACCGACAAGACTTCAAGGTCGATGCGATTGAATTCGTCAAAGCAGGACCAAGCCCCACATGATGCAAGCCCCTGTGGGGAGAGGGGGGTTGTGGTGATGGTGGGGGTGGTGAAATCACGGAGACAGAACAGGAGAGCCTAAAGAACCCATATCCTAGTGTTTTCTGCAGTGAACAGGCTAAATGGATTGCCTTCGTGCTAAGGAGACAAACTATTTGTAAAACACCCTGTGGGACTGGTTTAGATTTTTACTAACGAAGTACTGAAATGATTGGAATGATAGTCCGATACACAACCAAACAAACTCTGGTGTAAAAGCTTATAAAACTGGGCACCAGTTCGCGGTCATGGAGTGCATGCATAATTAACTTTAAGGAACAGTCTGTGAAAGCGTATGCCGCACTCTCTCCATGTGTGAAATTCCCACGTCTCTGATATGTCTGAACATGTTTTACCCCTCAGATTCCACCTCCATTAACCGATTTCCAGAAGTAGCCTGGTCCTGGTCAGAGTTCGACTGTTTCTACTCACTCACGTATTCACGCTCGGTTCGCATGTTTGTCTGACTTTTGGCACTGGCATACAATACCTCGACGTTTCTCTTGTAGTAACACCATTCATCCTTTCGCCAATTTCTTCCGTACTATCTAAGAATCCCCGTAATGCATGTTAGACCTAGAGGTCACCTTTCTGGCTTCCCGCTGACGCGCACAGTCCTCCGGTAGTAAATCAGGTCTCACGAGTTGCGGGATTCCTTTCGGTTTGGACCACCTTGAGAGCAATCTTCGTACTTCTTCTGTATTTTCTGTATTCTTCTAGCTACTATTTCCCCCCTCGTCTGTCATGGCAAATAGGACGCACCAGTTTGGCCCTTTCCTTGACTTTGCCTCCAAGGCTTGTTTGTACGTTCCACTTACCTGTTTTCCGGTGATCGAAACTGTTGCAGCTGGAACCAGTGTGCCTATGGCACACGGTTTATAGCTGATTGATTGGTTGGTTGATTGCTTCCTTGCTTGCTTACTTGATTGATTGATTGATTGATTGATTGATTGATTGATTGATTGATTGATTGATTGATTGATTGATTGATTGATTGATTGATTGATTGATTGATTGATTGATTGATTGATTGATTGATTGATTGATTGATTGATTGATTGATTGATTGATTGATTGATTGATTGATTGATTGATTGATTGATTGATTGATTGATTGATTGATTGATTGATTGATTGATTGATTGATTGATTGATTGATTGATTGATTGATTGATTGATTGATTGATTGATTGATTGATTGATTGATTGATTGATTGATTGATTGATATCTCACAGTGGACAGTGACTGCAAGACTGACTGCTGTTGCGCACTAGGACGTGTTCTGTTTTGTACTAATAATATTAATGACCATTCAGCTGTAGAACCCTTCCGGTGTCTGGTTGCTATGTCAACGGAAGGAGGCACGAGGGCTAGGATACGTTCCGGTTGCTCAAGCCTAGACAGGATCAGTTGAGATGCTGTGGTTGCATTCGAATCACGGACCTTCCGATCCGTAAGCTGGCAACTTAACCACTGAACTATCTCGAGCGTATGCGATTCCGCGACCTCAGAGGCTTCACATAAATATTACTATCATTCCGTTCCTTTTGCTGGCTCTCCTGACTGCGGTTTACCCTAGCTCTTCTGACCTCTTAAGCAGTCAGCGTTATGGAATCACTCGCAGTACTCGTCTTTGGTCCTCGGGTAGTTGTCGAACAATACTCATCTGAACATTAAGCTGAATTTAGCCAAACACAAATAAATCTCAGATGAATCTCTCGTTGCAGATGGGTGTATCCTGTCCGTTGGAATCAATATGGTGTTGAAGTAGAACATGAGGTCAATGGGGGCTCGACGGAGGTGCTCAGCTGAGGAGCCCCAAGAAGGGCAAAATCGACACTGGGCTGTCGATAAGTATTCAGTAGCCATACAGGTGAAAGGAAGAAGGCCTTCGCTGCGGAGTTATTTATTAGGAAATGCTGACTGAACAGTTACAGACTTTTGGACAGGGAAGCAAAACTCTATGCATCTTCTCCTTGAACGCGTCTTTCTGAAATTTCCTAGATATTCATTGACTGTTGCTCAAATCCAAGCAAATGCTACAAATCGACTCCACAAATTCCGTAATGGATCCCGCTTTTCAAGAAACGCAAAGAGGATTTACGAGAAAACATACTACTCGCATACCCTCCCATCAGTAGTATCGCGGTTACACAGGTGCTGTGCTCCGCCAAGAAAAATATATTTGGGCAGCTTTGGCCAGCCAGTTGGTCAATCATTTTTGTACAGCCATTGTGTTGTTGGGGTTAGGACATAAGTGACATGCCCAAAAATGTTGCCCTGTTAAGCTCTCGATCGAGTCAAGTCAGTTCAACAAGTGTCCGCTCATGCCCCCTGAATACCATGAAGGAAAAAGCTACGTTAAATTCAGACCACAGACGAACAGCTTTGCGATTGTGGTCAGGTCCGATATTTATGGAGTGATAAAGCCACGCCTGCCCAAGTCTGATGAAGACTGTAACGTAAAAATTCCTTACCACAGGAAATCCTCATCGAATGTGTGCTAGATCTCGAAGAGTTCCATTATGAGGAATGGGGATAATGAGTCTCTCAGACAGCGGTCTGACGCAAAATATGGATACCCCCAGGCTTACCTTGAAGAATTTCCCCAGGGCAATGTAATCCAGACCATCGGAACAGTTGAAGACCACGCATTGTTTGGCCACAGCCTTCGCCAAATCTTTTGTGGTTTCGGTTTTTCCCGTACCAGCTGGACCCTCCGGGGCACCACCCAAGTGAAGGTGAAGAGCTCCGAAGAGAGTGCGATAGCACCGATCGGTCAGTGGAGTGATCACCAATCGTCCCGTATTGCCCAGGTATTCGTAACCATAGCTGAAATGGACGCATTAGTGGAAGAGGTTTTAGGGGACAGAGCAGACACGGTGTTCAAACCTGGAAACTCCTTGGTAGAAATGAACCCTGTGAGACTCAAACTAGCGCGCAGTGCACGAGCTGTCATGGGTTGCTGATACAACTTCAGTCTTTCAACTTCATCTTGAACTCTTTAACTTAAACACTACTTTGTTTCCTGATTCGAAAGCTAACTCTCCTAAACTCGCCGACTTTCTCCTCTAAAAACACCACTACAAATTACCGAAATTTCAACACGAACAGCTGATGAATGGCCGTGTAACAGCACATGCGAGTGTGAAATTTAGTACAGCTGTGTAGATAGAGATGTGGTGCAAACTTCAGGGAACAGTTTTGTTTGGACCTACACAACACAGTGCATTCTCCGACCGGACAAGTCCTTTCACTTCACAATGTGGTGGCCAAAACACGGAATGTTTCGGCTCTAGCGATTGCTGCCACATTGCCCCAACCGCTGCTCATTCCAAGCGAGCCCATGGTGGCGCTTGACTACGCATCCCGATGGTGGTGTTGCTAGGTTCACCAAGCCTAGAGCTAGCGCGCTTAGCGCAGCAACCGGGATTTTGCACACCTGTGACCTTGGCCGAGCTATGTGCTAACCGGTTGGAGCGCAGCCGATCGTGTGTCACAGTCATTTGGGAAACCGCGGTTCCCACTCAAGCGGACCAGCAGCTCTCTGCACCAGTAACCCAACTGTGCTAAATTCTGTGCGATGAAATACTCATCAGCTGTAAAACCCAGTCTGCGTGTAGAGACTGGGTATAAATAGTCCAACCAAGAACAGAAAAGCAACCGTTGATGATGAAACAAGCAAAAAGGCTGGCAATAGAGCCCCGCTCGATCGTTTCATACTGTTTCCCATGTATCTCCCTAACATCAGCTATGTAATGCAAAAACTGAAATTTGTCTCAGTGGTGGTCAGTGCCAGATTTTTGGCCTGTAATGCGACTGGCTGGGCAAAAGGTCCGTGATGGTTTATACCAAAGCTGAAGAGCACTAAGTTCCCATAAACATCCATACGTACAGAAACGCAGGAGGTGGGGGTATGTGAACCTACGAAAAGCAGTCAAATGGTCAAGTCTTAGCCATTCTGGACCCTTCATCAGGACTTCTCCATCTGAAAGCAGCATATGTAAGTAGTTTAACATAGTTGGGTAATAAAACGAATGCGCCCTAATGATTTAGGGGCTTTGCAACGATGTTCGCCTTGTGATGGAAGGCCTTGGGAACTAACTAGAGCTTTACTATGGGTCATGAGGCTCAATACCTGTTTCCTGAAACACCTACAAGCTAGAAACTAGCGATCCCATCTTTGTCGTGAAGTTGGACAATTTCCCCAAGATATTCCGATATTCGGTTTCCCAACATCCTTCGCAATTCCGGTTGACACAGATCCTGTATATAGTCTTGTTTGTGAAGATATCAACCCAACTTAACCCAGAAACAGCCTTTGTTCGACTGAGGATGATCACTTAAAGCTCGAATGGATTAGAATTCAAATGAATCTTCTATTGGATTTCAAGGGCTGTTGGAAGAACCCATGACTAGAGCACATGAAATAGGCAATAAATGCAATAAATCCATCACTATGATAGCTGAACATCACCTGTTGAAACGTGTGCATTACAGGTGGCCAGCAAGGAATGCACTAATCATCTGTTGAACCAAAAGTTCGTATTCAGATTGAACATGAAGCTAACCGGAGTTGTGAGGCTTAAACAGCCCTTTGTAGTTGAAAGCATGAATTACCGGACCGATGTAGGGAAGCAAAGCGTACACTCAGCACATCAACCCAATCAAGCCCGTGCCCTCACAGACTAAAGCGCCCCCAGACGTACATATTCCTGAAGCCAGGTGATGAAACCATTCACTTTCCACCTAGATAAAAGGACAGCCACGCTCAACCTACTCATTCAGTTGGTAGTGTGAGGAGATTTGGGATTTTTGTGAAGATTCTGTCCTGTTAGTGAAGCCAATCTATGCTGAAAAGTCGAGAAGCACTGTACAGCTGTTTTATCCTTATTGGGAATCATCAGTAGTGTGCATCTTACGGAACTCCGAAAAGTCTCGAACCCGCGACCTCCCGGCTGGTAGTTTGAACACACTAAGCAGGCCTCTGTGTTCCACTGTTCGAATTCGCAGCCGCCAGCACAATGTCTGTGTTGGCATCGCCTGGTAATTCCATCCAACAGGTGCAGAGATGGGCCAATCCACCACCCCAAAAGACACGGAGTGGCAGGCTTCCGTTTCGCTCTAATGATCCATACACCTTAGTTGTAGGCAAAACTTGGTAGTAGTCTACATGATTGAGGTCAACCGATTTTGAGTGGTTTTCAGGTGTTACTTTCATAACGATTCATTCAAACACACAGTAACCACCATAGCAGCTTACCGCAGGGTAACTTATGGCACATAACGCCTTGCTAATGAGGACGACCTTGACACCATACACAATGAGTCCCCAGAAATGTAACGATACAGGAAGGGGAATAAATAATCGTATGTAGCGGGTACTCACCAGATCACGCATTACAAACACTCAAACCACGTGACAATTCCTGTCCCACTTGCAATGGGAGCTGACAACATGTACACCACAACTTCCCATCCATTTTTGTTTACGCGCACACCAACTGCTTCACGCGCCAGGATTACGAACTTCAACACATCAGGTCTTCGTGCAAGTATCAAACACGAAGAGGCACCCCAATCTTCACACGGCACACAATAAACAGCCCTACAACTTGACCAACACACACACACACACGCACGCACAGGACAGGAAGTCAAACAATTCTCCACAATTCTCCACGAGTAACTACGGTTAGAGCGCGAATTTACTGACCGCAAGGTACGTGGTTCGAGCCCGACCTCTGCCGCTCGATTTCCCCTGTCTGGGCTTGGGCAACCTGGCAGTATCCCAGCCCTCGTGCTTCCTTGGTGTAGCATGTCAATTAGGCACCGGAACGGTGTTACAACTGGGAGATTTCTCTTTTTTTCACCGTACTTATGTTTGTCAAGTGCACATAACTATTGTACTCATCATCATTCTGGTAAAACAGACATTTGTTAGTGCTTGTTACCTTCTGATAGTCTATCTAATTACGTTAGAGACAGAGCACTAACAAGTACATCAAAATCACTTTGTGGAGCACAAGTTGTGTAAGGAACCAGTCGTATCAAACTTATTTGCATTCATGATTAGAGATAACAACACGAGTGTTGACAAAGGGTTGGATAACCGTAAATTCTATGTAATTATATTTAATGCCTCAAAGTGAAAAGAATAAATTGACGTTTTGGGTGGGACCTGGTGCTAAGCTGTCGCTGACGTTCCCAGATGCTTACATTCCCAATCACTCATTCAGACAATCTGAAAAGAAACTGACAGCTCAAGTGACACTGGCATCGATTCGCCGCCATTAGCAGTGTCACCAACCAGGTACGTGGAGGGTCACGGAAATCCCGTCTTGGAAGGTGGGCAGCACCAACAACACCCGAAGCCCTCTTTGTCACCCTTCTTCCGAGTCATACGTTGTCCACCTCACGGGTTGCACCTTTCTGAAGGAGTCACAGAGAACAATACTCGTCTCGGAAGACGGCGTTTCCGCATGGCTCAGTCACCGCAATCGGTGGTGCTGGATGTTTTCCGCAGCTGAAGTGCTGGCTAACGAATTCTATTATGCGAGACCCCTGGGACATCCATGTTAACAATCTGAAAGGGCTTCACATCATCTGCCCGCAAAAGCTATGTCTTACAACCATAAAACAATAGAGCCCGTGCTTTGGTCTGGAACGTGAGGCCTCTGGGACCCTTCAGACGCTTTTTGACACAAAGTATCAAGCGTGATTCAGGTCTTTGAGATTCATGCACTGACTTTCGCAGACACTTTGCGTCAGGGTTAATAAACCTGCAGAGGTATGCAAACTCCCCCACAACCTCCAGTGATCCTTCGCGGAGGACAAGATTCAACCTCAGAGACTGCAAGTCCTGAAGTATGAATTTGAACTTTAAACGTGCAAGGCGCATGCCGAATGATAGTGTTATGGGGGTCAGTTGACTCAAAAGAGCATCAAAGACGAAAGCAATGTCGTCCGGTTATTCCAGGTCGATAAGGTTTTCACCAACAACTGTTTGAACAATGGGTTTTGAAGACCTTCCAGCTTTCGCCTCATTATTTCACTGACGGTCTCCCTCCCAAATAGACGCAAATAGACTGGACGAGTACTGGCTAAGGAATTCACCACCGTCCTTGAACAGAGAGGTGGAAGGTCATTGGGACCAGGAGAACGATGAAGCTT